CAACGCTTCTCCTTCCAGTGAGTCAACGCAGGTCAGGAGGTATCCACCTTTTCGAAAATTGTGCGAGTGCGGGTGGGAGTGTGAGGGCGTGTGGCGATGGTGGGCCGTGGCACAAGGCGGCTGAGCCCATGTAGATTAGAGTTGTAGGGGGTTAGAATAGAATGCATTCATCCTCATGCCCGCGTCCTCCTCCTCCTCAGTCCCCCCCTGCTAGCTCGCTCGCTGCCAAACTGCCACGGGCTGCCATTCGCCACACTCCCTTCGCTTCCGACTCTCCTCCCAACCCCTCCCACGTTGTGCTGCCATGTACTTGTTTTCTCTCGATTCCTCTCACTTCTTCTTCCTTTGCGAGTTTCTTTCTTGGTCCAGTTTTTCTCGCATGCCTCCTCGTTTCCCCGTCCGAGCAGTGAACAACGAGGGAGCGATGGCGAGGGATAGGCCTCGCCCATTGCGAACGAGCGACCTGTGAGCAACGGAGCACCCGATCAGCGGGTGGCGAATTGTGGACGGACGAGAGAGTCGGGTTGGAGGAGAATTTACACCGTTCAGCCACAGCCACTCCGGTGAAGTGGTCTGAAATTCTCAACCGTTTGCTTCTCTCGGCTCACTTCTTTGGTTCAGTGCTCTAAAATCCACTTCCGTTTGCTTCTCCTGGCTCGCTTCTGTTGACGCGCAATACATTTCCAATTTTTCTCAAAGCGGAATACGATTGTGTGTGGGAGTGTGAGGGCGTGTGGCGATGGTGGGCCGTGGCACAAGGCAGCTGAGCGCATGTAGATTAGAGTTGTAGGGGGTTAGAATAGAATGCATTCATCCTCATGCCCGCGTCCTCCTCCTCCTCAGTCCCCCCCTGCAAGCTCGCTCGCCGCCAAACTGCCTTGGGCTGCCATCGCCACACTCCCTTCGCCTCCCACGCTCCTCCCAACCCCGCCATGCCGTTCTGCTTTTGGCTCGTTTGCTTCCATGCTCTCCTGCACCTTCCCATGCTGCTTGCGTGCTCCAGTTCTTGTTGCATGCCTCCGTTTCCCCCCGTTCCTCCAACCTCCCCTCCCTGTGGCAGCAGAGGCAGCAGCAGCAGCAACTGGGAGCCAAACGCAGTGGGCAGTAGGGAGCTCGCTTTGCCCGCCTTCCAGAGAGCTTGTGACACAGCAGAGGGACCTTCCACAGCAGAGGGACCTTCCACAGCAGAGGGACCTTCCACTGCAGAGGGGCCTTCTACTGAAGGGAGGCAGCGCGTTTTACCAGGGAGAGTATGGGGCTGGCCGTGACCTATCGAGGTATGCCACTTTTTCCAGTTCTACACCCCTGAGTAGGTCGCAAACACCGCTCTCCACCCCTCCCATGCGAATTCTGCTCAACACTCCTACTTCCCGTCCTTCTTTTTAGTTTTTGTTGTATGCCTCCTTCACCCCCGTCCCACCACCCCCCCCCCCCCCACCCCCGGGTTTCCTCCATTCTGTGTTAAGTATTTTGTGTATATCTCATGCCTGTTTCTTGGCTCGCCTGCTGCCCTTCCCTCCGCCCCCCATTCCCTCCACCCTGCCCCCATTCCCTCCACCCTGCCCCCATTCCCTCCGCCCTGCCCCCATTCCCTCCACCCTGCCCCCATTCCCTCCACCCTGCCCCCATTCCCTCCGTCCTGCCCCCATTCCCTCCGCCCTGCCCCCATTCCCTCCCCCCTGCCCCCATTCCCTCCGCCCTGCCCCCATTCCCTCCGCCCTGCCCCCATTCCCTCCGCCCTGCCCCCATTCCCTCCGCCCTGCCCCCATTCCCTCCGCCCTGCCCCCATTCCCTCCGCCCTGCCCCCATTCCCTCCGCCCTGCCCCCATTCCCTCCGCCCTGCCCCTATTCCCTCCGCCCTGCCCTCATTCCCTCCGTCCTGCCCCCATTCCCTCCGCCTTGCCCCGATTCCCTCCGCCCTGCCCCCATTCCCTCCGCCCTGCCCCCATTCCCTCCGCCCTGCCCCCATTCCCTCCACCCTGCACCCATTCCCTCCGCCCTGCCCGCGTTCCCCTCTACTATGCCTCATTCCCTCCGCCCTGCCTCCGTTCCCCTCCACTATGCCCCATGTTCTCCGCCCTGCCCTATTCCCTTTAGGCCACTCGTGATGGAGCAGAGGAAGCTGAGTGGCACACTGGCAACACCAGTTGCAACTGTGGAGCGCCAGTGTGGAGGGCTTGTGCGGGAGGGGAGGGAGGGAATGTGGGGCAGCAGCTGTTGGTGGCTCTTCAACTGCCAGCTGTTGGTAGACTCACCTTTTCAATTGGCTCCTGTGAGTAAACTTCTTGACTTTTCATTCAGTCAACACTTCTCCTTCCAGTGAGTCAACACTTCTCCTTCCAGTGAGTCAACGCTTCTCCTTCCAGTGAGTCAACGCTTCTCCTTCCAGTGAGTCAACACTTCTCCTTCCAGTGAGTCAACGCTTCTCCTTCCAGTGAATCAACGCTTATCCTTCCAGTGAGTCAACGCTTCTCCTTCCAGTGAGTCAACGCTTCTCCTTCCAGTGAATCAACGCTTATCCTTCCAGTGAATCAACACTTCTCCTTCCAGTGAGTCAACGCTTATCCTTTCCCTGCGGCTGATCGACCAACCCTTTGGAAACCCTGTGGTCGGGCCACCACCAACCCTCTGGTCCAGCCTTCAATCCTTTGGCCGAACGGTAGCAACGTGTTGGCACCATCTTTCCTTCCATGCTGCTCTTCTCCTTTCGCTCCATCTCATGCTCAACTCTGTAAGCTCTGCACCAATCTCTTGCGAAGAGCCTTTCAATTGCATGTGGTTCACTGTTTGTTGTGAAGCAGCGGTGGTGCAGTGAGGAGGTGTAGTGGTGGGCCTGGTGTAGTGGTGGGCCTGGTGTAGTGGTGGGCCTGGTGTAGTGGTGGGCCTGGTGTAGTGGTGGGCCTGGTGTAGTGGTGGGCCTGGTGTAGTGGTGGGCCTGGTGTAGTGGTGGGCCTGGTGTAGTGGTGGGCCTGGTGTAGTGGTGGGCCTGGTGTAGTGGTGGGCCTGGTGTAGTGGTGGGCCTGGTGTAGTGGTGGGCCTGGTGTAGTGGTGGGCCTGGTGTAGTGGTGGGCCTGGTGTAGTGGTGGGCCTGGTGTAGTGGTGGGCCTGGTGTAGTGGTGAGCATGGCCCCATCCCCGGGGCTGGTGCATCTCCACCTGTACGAAGGTTGGACCGACATTTCTACCCGCGCTCATTGCATGCTACACCCGTACGTGCTTCTCTCTCCCACTTTAGGGCGTATTCCTACGGCCTCCTATCAAGCCACCTCCTATCAAGATTGTACCTTTTGCCTGTGAAAAGTAGCGAGAGGTTTCGGGTATAGGGGATTTTTCAGTGTGAGCTTGATAGGAGGTCAGATTGATAGGAGGATAGGAATACGCCCTTATTTCCCAGGCATTAAAGGCCGGTACAGGTCCTTGGGAGGGTAGCGAAGCAGCACATACACAGACACTGGAAGTGGAGGTCTGGGCTTTTTGGGTAAGCTCGTAACTACCCTGCTCTCCTCGTCCCCTTCTCACATGCACTCATCAGATCTTGCATTCGCATCCTGCTTCTCCTTGCTGTTGTCACTCCTCCCTTGATTCTTCATGCGATCACGCCCTTCACAATGCAAGACATATTTCATACCTATTCCTTTTTCAAGCAACAGTTATTTGTACTCCGTTTACTCTGTTGCATGCCCCCCTGCTATCTTTATGTAAGCAGCTACAGGTTGGGAAGTGAAGACAGAAGAATGGTGTCCAAGGGTGCTACCTTTGTAGCAGATGTAGTCCGTGGCTTGCCAAATTAGGCTAAATACCGGTAGTATGTGTTGTCAAAAATCCACACCAGGCCATGATGCTTGGGATTTTTAGTAGGGTAGGAGCAACATTATGGTATGGTATGAGGTATACTGAAGTGGGTAAGGTGGGAGGTATGGTATGGGGCAAAGTGGTTTAGCGATAGGGGATGGTCTGGAGGGGGTCTGCTAGGCACAACAACAGAGTGGTTGGGCAGGCAGGTCAGGAGGTATCCACTAACAGCAGGGAAGAATGGCAGGGACACACTAACGACAGGGAAGAATGGCAGGGAATGGACACACTAACAACAGGGGAGCATGGCAGGGACACACTAACAACAGGGAAGAGTGGCAGGGACACACTAACGAGAGGGAAGAATGGCAGGGACACACTAACAACAGGGAAGAATGGCAGGAACACACAACAGGGAAGAATGGCAGGGAAGGGACACACTAAGGACACGCCACCTCTGGCAATTTTGCTCGATCGATCTCAGGATCGCTGATTCCAGCGGACTGGAAACCTGCCAAAAGCATGTACTGCTTTCAGCGCCATTTCAAATTCCTCCACTTTTCGATCCTGCGCAGGGTAGATCTCAGGATGGTGCTAGAGGTGCTGCGTCCTAACAGCAGGGAAGAATGGCAGGGACACACTAACAACAGGGAAGAGTGGCAGGGACACACCAACAGCAGGGGAAAATGACAGGGACACACTAACAGCAGGGATGGTAGGGACACATTACCACAGCAGGGAATAATACGGTAGTGGCAGTAACACACTTGCAGCAGGGAATGTGGGCAGGAACACAATGCACTAAAAGCAGGGAATGCCACAGGAGAACTCAACAGCACGGAATGATGTTGCTAAGTGACGCACCAACAGCGGCGCATGAGGCTAGCACAACAAAACGGTAGCAGGGAATGATGGCAAGACGGAAAGGTACTCTAAACAGAAGAGAAACTACCATGGCAAGAGAGTGCATGGCAAGGCAGAGGAACTCTGCTAGCAGGGAACCACCCACTAACAGCAGGGCATGAGGCCACCAAACTAGGGAACTCCGGTAAATAACATAATGTCAGACCAGACCTCCCATCTACCATCCCAATGTGCCTCACAATGTCACGTAGAGAGAGAGCTGACCACTAGAGTACTGTGGAATGTTAATGTACAAAGAATTGCGCATGCACTTCATGGAACTGATAACGTTTCAATGTCGAGACATCAATGCAATTTCGTTTGTTCAGCAACTTTCTCCACTTTTGCTCCCGAGGCATGCTCGTAGTATTCTACAGCGCCAGCAGCCAGCAATGCCGCCAATGTCAATGCCTGAGCGTGTAGCCTGTGGGAAATACATGAGGAAAGAATCAGAAATGAGCTGAGGAGGCCGCTAGAGCACACAAAAGCATGGCCAATTGTGAGCTGCAAATAGCAGAAGCGTTGAGGCACATGTCATCTGTGAGATGTCAGTGCTGCACATGATTATCGAAGAGAGGACCCAAAGACTAGAACAGCAGCACTCCTAGAACTTACCGCGCATGGATGATCTTGACGCTCATCTTCTCCCCAGGCTTCCTGAAGTTATACAGAATGGAACCTCCCACCGCTGACGCCCATAGTGAACCTGAGAGGCCGGACACAATCGAGGTGAATGAGAGAGTTTTGGTGGAAATTACTTTAGCAATGTTTCTGATATTCGAACACTGCCATAGAGAACCTCGGAACAAGCCCACGAGCGATAGGGATTGACGCAGTCATTCATGATACCGCCAACGTCTATAAATCACATGATGGACTGGCAGAACCAGACTCTAATGTCACAACCAGACGCAGCAAACAGACCAAAGCGTGATCGTTGTGTTTCTTTACTCGTTTTCAAGATCCGTTCGGTGTAACTTGTCGCTGCTCGTTTTTCCGAGCAGCAGAAATGTGGGGACAATAGTGATACTAACGGGTTTTAGTTGCGCTCACCAACAGCCTTGATCTTGTTCTCGACGACCCACTTTCTGAATCCCGCAGCGGTGTAGAAATCTGAGCTCGGCGCGCTTGCAGATCCGCTCGCAGAGTCGGCCATTGCGTCTTTCTTTTGTTCAGTCCGTTAGCTGTTGACGAAAGAATCTGTTGTCGATCGGCGAAGACGCTCGATGACGCTTTTCGGACGTTCGGTACGCGATCTACAGTTAGACGCGGTGGACGACGATCGTTGCGAAACAGCGGAGACGGATTAAGCAATTAGCAGCGAGGCACGATACGGAAACGTGTCTGATAAAGAAGCCGAGTTCCTGAAAGGAACGCTGATGGTGAACTCGGAGTTTTACTGAAGACAGAAGGAAAGTCACGAGTTGAAAAACTCGAGCCATCTCGGGAGTGCAGAGCTGCCTCGAGATGATCCAATTGGGAGAAGCGTGTGGCAGAGGAGGAGGAGAAAGGCAGTTCATGGAGGTTGTTGGTGAATCGGGCTGATTTGAATGCGGTTTTGTGCGTTTTAGACGAGATCGGTGGGGTGGAGATGGAAAATCTGCGATGCTTCTGGTGCAGTTTCCTGACATTCCAGCATCGCCGCGCGCCAGCGCAGCAAGCACCGCTGGCACGCATTGGCGCGGAAACGCAAACCATTTGCGCGGTACAGGTCGGCTCGTTCATACGCTAAAATAGTCAGATACTCATAACACTCACGGTAGGCTTGTGTTTAGCATCTTGTATGAATATACTCTTGATACAACTTTACCTTTTCTTGACATGACATGAGAACTTCATCCCCGGATGTGCCTTCAGGGTCTCCTCCAAAGCTACAGGAGCCGAGAATCCATCATCAAACAACCCACTGTACAGATCCCTCAAAAACAACCCCAACCTCTCTTCCTCCACTTTAGCACTTGCCTGCTCTTTCTCCACCGCTAAACCAAACACCCGATCCTCCCGGCCAATCCAAGCCTCCACGTCATCCAACCAGGCCTCCCTCTTCCCCAACCTACCCACATCCCCACCAGCTGCTGCCGCCGCTAAATCCAAACCCACAACTCCTTGATAGGCCGAGTCGACGCAAGGAGACATGCCACTTGCCCCTGCCGCAGCAGCAGCATTTAATGCAAAGTGACCAGGGAATGAAGAGGAACCGGCAGGAGGAGGAGCGATGACAGCCTTGGCTCCGGTGTCCAGAAAAGCTTCTGTGAGGGCGGTGGGGGGCCCCTGTTTGCCCGTGCACACTATGATGCGATCCCTCCATGAAGAAGCCTGTGTGGGTGGTTACAGGCAGGCAGGGAGGCAGAATGGGAAGGGCACGAAGGCAGAGAGGTAAGGAAAGGTGTGTATAAGGGCGGTGGGAGCCCCCTGTTGGCCCGTGCACACTATGATGCGATCCCTCCATGAAGAAGCCTGTGTGGGTGGTTACAGGCAGGCAGGGAGGCAGAATAGGAAGGGCACGGAGGCAGAGAGGTAAGGAAAGGTGTGTATAAGGGCGGTGGGAGCCCCCTGTTGGCCCGTGCACACTATGATGCAATCCCTCCATGAAGATGCCTGTGTGGGTGGTTGCAGGGCAGAGGCAGGGCGACGGAGAGGCAGGAAACAGGTCGGCAGCAGGAAGACAAGGAAAGATGGAAGAGAAGATTCGATGGAAGAGAAAATAGAGTGAGATTCCACCAGCATGCAAGGCAGAATGTGCACACACAGAACAACAACCGTTTGGTGCCCAAACATGACCCACATAGAGATTCCACCAGCATGCAGCATGAAGCCACACGCCAGTGAGCCACGAGGCAGCCATCCAGCCATCATTCAAATGCAAATCACCATCCGACACCCATGCATAGCCAACCATCCACCATCCACCGTCCGCCACCTACCACCCACCACCCGCCACCCAGCATGCCACCACCCGACCCCAACTCACCATCCAGCGAATGTCAGCTTCTGTGAGGTGGACGGCGGGGGCCACCAGGCGCCATCCATAATCCAGCCCTCCAACCTTCAATCCCTCTAACAATCACCCCATCTCCATCCCAACTCACCATCCAGCGAATGTCAGCTTCTGTGAGGTGGACGGCGGGAGCCGTGCAGCTGAAGAGATACGTGCTCACCTCCATGCCGCCCGGCAGGATCTGCGCAGGAAAATGACAAACAGGGAAACAGTGGCAGCCAGAAAGGGATGTCGGGGGAAACACTCAGTGATGGGTTTGGAGAAGTAGCAGTGAGGGCAAGCCACTTGGCATAGCACGTGTGACAACCCAGGGTTTGGAGAAGTAGCAGTGAGGGCAAGCCACTTGGCATAGCACGTGTGACAACCCAGGGTTTGGAGAAGTAGCAGTGAGGGCAAGCCACTTGGCATAGCACGTGTGACAACCCATACATTGAAAAGGACAAGACTTGGCACACCTGAGTGTGGCAGCCCATGAAGCGATGCAGCACCCCATCCACCACGAAACAGCTCGCCACATGCACCAACTCCCACAGACTGCTTTTGAGGTGGCTTGAAAGAGGAGCAGCACGTGGCATACCTGAGTGTGGCAGCCCATGAAGCGATGCAGCACCCCATCCACCACAAAGCAGCTCGCCACATGCACCAACTCCCACAAACTCGCCGGTGCCTTCTCCCCCGCTCCCCTACTCCCCCTCCCTCCCCCTCCTCCTGCTCCTCCAACCGCTCCCCCAGTAGCACCAGGCGGCCCGGCACCTCTCACACCACCTGCTGCACCAGTAGCAGCAGCAGCGGAGTCACCAGCAGGGCTAGCAGCAACAGCTGCCGTGGCAGCAGCAGTGACAGGTGCGCCAGAGGAACTCGGAGTTCCACTGATGCCCCTCGCACTGCCGCCGCCACTACCCGAAGCACTCACCCCTGCCAAGCCTGCTGATCCCGAACCTGCTGCCAGTCTTGCACTTGCCGAACCTGCTGCGTTCACTGGACCAAGCCCGGGGGAGCTGGCTCCATGGTGAGTGGCAGCAAGCCCGACCAGATCAGCCGCCGAAGCTGAGGCCGAACCAGGCGCCGAAGCAAGACCACCTGAACCAGAAACTGGAGCTTTGGCAGCACCGGCAGCAGCAGAAGCAGCAGCAGCGGTAACACCAGCAGCATCAGCAGAAGCAGCAAGAGAGTGGGCGAGGGCAGCAGCATGGCGGCGAGCGGGGTTCCACCAGCCGATGCTGTCAATGGCACGGGCAAGCAGGCGCGTGGCGGAGTCACTAGGCTCTGCCACTGACATGACCTCAGATGACCAGCTGAGGAGGGAGGAGAGGAGAGGAGAAAAACAGAAAGATGAGGGACGGTGTGAGAGAGCAGGTGGGAGGTGGAATCACTGAGTTGTGCAACTGACAGGGCCTCAGTGGTCCAGCTGAGGAGGAGAACAACACAGGACAATGGGCAGGCAGAGCAGTACATAGGGTGAGGGCAAGAGGGCGGATGGGCCGAGAGAACAGCTGAGACCGGGAGCCAGGGAAGGCCCTTGCGCATGAGCCAGACCAGGGAGAGCAAGTGAGCAATGGCACTCACGTGAGGATGAAGCCTGACTGGTCGCAGGGTAGCGCCAGGTGCACTAGGCCCACGCCAGCAGCCTGCTGCAGGCGCTGCATGAGTGCTGCTGCCGGGGGAGACAGCGACAGCGCCACCGCCCTCCTCGACCCGCCCTCCGTCCACACTGGCTTCAGCCGTGCCCCCACACTCGGCAGCGTTGCTGCCGCCGCCGCCGCCGCCGCCGCTGCTCTCCCTGCTGTTGCCGATACCGTTGCCCCTGCTGCGCCTGATGCTGATGTTGGCGTGTAACCCCGTGTGACCGCTCCCGTGCCTGCTTGCCTGGTGCTCCTGCCTCCCTGCCCCTCCTCTTCCCCGTCTGAGTCCTCCCCTTCGGCCATCCAGGGCCGGAAACTTGCTTCCACTCCCAGAGGTGTGTCCTCTGTACTAGTTGCTCTGGTACTAGACCCAGCCCCAGCACGAGTAGCAGCAGCAGCAGGAGTGATGCTGGCAGTAGCAGGACGTGAGGTTTCCCCTGTTGGCTTGTTAAGATCGAGGTTGGAGGGAACTCGGAACACGGGGGAACCACCACCCCCTCCTCCCCTTCCATCCACTCCCCTTCGGACACCTGCCCTTCCCACTGTCCCTCCCGAACCTCCACCCGCACCACCCGAGCCTCCCGAGCCTATTCCCAGACCTGCTGCTATGGCCGTGCTGCTACCGGACCTCCTCATCCCAGCAGCTCCGGCTGAAGCTATCCCTGCTGCTGCTGGTGCTGCCAGTCCTGCAGCAGACCCAAAATGGGGACTAGCGCCACCACTAGCAGATGCTCCAGCAGCCGCAGCTGCAGCAGCAGCCATGGCCGAAGCTGACCCTGTGATTCGGGGACTCCCAGGCACGCTGGAGGGTCGGGAGCTGAACGGGGACTGGAGAGAGGTGGAGAAATACAGCCCAGTGGACGCAGCAGCAGCAGCAGTGCTGCCAGAGGGAGGGTCGCAGGGCTCACAGATATGCTCGTCTACCTTAGGGGGGCGGCGCAGGTGGGACAGCAGACTGCCAGTGCTGCCACCGTCCGTGCTGATACTGCTGATGATCCCTGCGAGCCTCGCTGCTGCTGCTTCATGAGAAGAAACCATGCTGCTGTTGTTGATATAGCCACCGCCGCCGCCGATGGCAGAGCAGCAGAGACGAGCCGAGTGCTGCCAGGGCCGGCGGGCAACGGACGGCCGGATGGAGTCCACGAGCAGCACGTGCCGACGGTATGGATTGATCGCGTGCAGCGAGCTGCCACTGGCTCCCCTCCTCTGATCCCCCTGCGGCCCAATCACCTTGGCCAGGGGCGACGCGGGGGCAGACGTCTTGGGCGACCTAGGCGATGCTGGGAGCACAATGGGAGGGTAAACAGGTGCTGCTGCAGGGCTAGAGTAGCCAGCGGCTCTCGGGGTGCCGGGCATGCTTCCCGGCCGACTCCCCGGCCGACTCCTATACCCCCCTGCCGCTGCCGCTGCTGCTGCTGCTGCTCCGCCTAACAGTGCTGCGGCGGCGGCCTTGTCTGCCTCCTCCTGAGCCACGCAGAGGCGCAGGTACTTGCAGAGCTCTGCCATGTCGCGGTTGACTGCTGTGAGGTACTCGTCAGTGGCTGTCTCCAGTTTTTCCCACTCCGCTGGGTCTGTTTCGTCCAGATCCATGCCACACCGCTCGTCCACTGCTTGGGGAGGAGGGGGAAAGGGCAAGGGAAAAAGGGATAGCGAGAAACAGGAAAGGGGAAGGGGGAAGACGGAGGAGGGAAGGGTGGTGGGAAGTATTCAATGTGGAGGGGAAGTGGAGGGAGCAGAGGCGCAGGTACTTGCAGAGCTCGGCCATGTTGCGGTTGACTGCTGTCAAATACTCATCAGTTGCGGTTTCAAGTTTTTCCCACTCCGCTGGGTCTGTTTTATCCTGATCCATGCCACACCGCTCGTCCACTGCTTGGGGAGGAGGGGGAAAGGGGAAAGGGGAAGCGGGAAGCGGGGAGGGGGAATGGGGACGGAGGAAAGGGAAAGGGGGAAAGGGGAACGGGAAGGGGAGGTGGAGGGAGCAGAGGCGCAGGTACTTGCAGAGCTCTGCCATGTCGCAGTTGACTGCTGTGAGGTACTCATCCGTGGCTGTTTCCAGTTTCCCCCACTCCGCTGGGTCCGTTTCATCCAAGTCCATGCCACACAGCTCGTCCACTGCGTGTATCAAAAGGTTGGGAGCGGTTAGAAGAGGGGTTCGGGAGCGGTTGAAAGGGGTTTGAAAGGTTTGAAGGGCAACAGCTCCAGCTTCTCCCACTCTGCTGGATCGGTCTTGCCCAGGTCAAGTCCATGCTGCACCGATTGTTCACTAGTGTACTAGAGGGCTAAAAGGGAGGTTTGGGAGCACTTAGAAGGGGTAGGAAGGGTTTGGAAGGGTGACTCTCAGGAAGGTAGAAAGTTCAAATCACTTTTCTTTGGATTTATAAGGAAGAGTTTAAAAATTGTTAAACGGATTTTCTAGCAGTACGGCAGCAATCACAAGGGATGGAGAGAATATTCTTGACAGCAGCAAGGGACACAGAATATTCTACGGTAAGAGCGGTAACACTACAGTCACTGGCATGACATTAGTCACTGTGACATCTATGGCGGATGCAGTCAATGTTCTTGCTTATGCAGGAAAAAGAAGGTGAGGGATTATCCGATTTCGAGATTTGTTAGATGGATTATCCTCACCTTCTTTTTCCTGCATAAGCAAGAACATCGACTGCATCCGCTATAGATGCCGAAGTGACTAATGTCATGCCAGTGAATGTAGTGTTGCCGTTCTTACCGTGGAAAATTCTATGTCCCTTGATGATGTCAAGGATATTATCTCCATTCTTTGTATTGCTCCCTTAACAAATCTCGAAACTCTTCGTTATAACTCTCAAAAAACGTGTTTTGAGACGTCTCAAATACCAGCTTGCAGGTGATCTCGTTCAGATTTCTCACCTGCAATCATTCCCTCTCGCTTCACCACTGACCTGGGTTGAACCGGTAGTATTTCACATCGGGCAGCATGGGAATCACCGACTCAAACGCCAGATCCGCCTGCTCCACCGACGTGGCAGCCTCGGCCAGCACCTGCCCCGTATCCGCCACCCTCCACCCGGGCCTCCCGCGCAGCTTCGGCGGCGCCGAGCCGCACCCGAGGCTCACCACGCAGTCCAGCGGCAGGTCCGGCCAGAGCAGCCGGGCCTCTCTCACCGCGACAATTGTAGGGTTATTTGCGAAAATAGCCCCGTCTTGCCAGCGGTGGGGGCCAACAGCGAAATCGTCGAAGTAGTACGGAGCTGCGGAGGAGGCTCGGATGGCCTGCCAGAGCTGCATCTTGCACGTGCCTAGCAGCGCGGATAGCCCCGATGTGCGCATGCGGGGGGGCGGCATGGGCATGGGGGACCCGTCGGCTGGGGGGTGGGGGGTCTCCCTGGTCCCAGGAGGGTACTGTTGGGGATGGGGGAAGAGGGAAGAGGGATGAGGGATGAGGGAAGAAGGAAGTAGCAGCAACGGTTAGGGGAGTGATGCCGGGGAAAGAAGGCGCAGACCAGAAAGGGCTGCAACTTGCACGCGGATAGCCCCGGGTGGATGGCATGGAAACCGTTGGATGGAGGGTTAGGGGGCAGGAAGGCTATTGGCAGAGTGCACCCCACACTCAGCAATTAGCAATTGGTAAGAGCCTCACCTGGTAGTTTCGGAAGACGAAGGGTGTGGCGGGTGTGACACTAACGAGGGTGGACACCACGAAGACCTTGGGCCCGCCCTTGACTGCGGAGTCGATGAGCAGGTCCCCATCGTCATCCGTGCACATCTCCTGCAGCAGCTGCTCAAACTGCTCCGCGTTGTGCTGCCAGTGGGTGGGAGGAATGAGAGGGAATGCGCGCAGGGAAGGGGAGAAGCAGGAGCAAGCAAGGGAATATGACTGCGGATTCCAGAGCAGTTCCCTATCGTCGTCCGTGCACATGTCATGTAACAGCTGCTCAAACTGCTCCGCGTTGTGCTGCGAGTGGGAGGAACAGGAGAAGAGTGGAGGGGAAGGGGAAAAGGAGGAGGGGGGGGGGGCAGAATCAGGGACAACACATCTCCCTGCAATAACTGCTCAAAATGCTCCGCGTTGTGCTGCGTCTTCGAGGAAAGATGAGGTGGCGGGAGAGGAGAGAGGGCGTGATGCGCTGTTAGGCAACTACATCTAAATTGACATCCATTTACATTTAAGTGTGCATTTTTGCCTAAGGTCAAACTGGATTCGAAAAGACGTACGCTATGTTCAGATACTTCACTAAGAATGCTCTTTGTGGAGTTATTTCAAAATCAGCTGAGCATCTGCTCAACTAATCTTGAAATAACTCCACGGAAGGCATCCTCAGCGGAATCTCCAAACATTGTATAAGTTTTTCCAGAGCCAAATTGACCGTGGACAGAAATGCACACCTGAATGAAAGTGGATATCAATTTAAATATAAATGCCTAACAGACAGCGCATGAAGTGCACACACTTACTTCATACCCATTAAGTGCACTAGTAACAAACTCTGAAAGCTCTTGAAACACGGCCATCTGTGTTGTCCCCAGTGAGAAAACCATGCTCAGCTATACGGCTACCTTGCAAGCACCCCTCTGCTCACCTTGCTGCCATGCACCACCACACGGTAGTTCTGAGACGAGCTTTTGTACAGCTGGTCAAGCTTGTGTACAACCGCCCCCCATGGTCCTTGCAGCACCTAACATGCACCCACCCGTCACCCCTCTGCACACCTTGCTGCCGTGCACCACCACGCGGTAGTTCTGAGACGAGCTCTTGTACAGCTGGTCCAGCTTGTCCCGCCACGACGCCGACTCCATCGCCTCCACGTTTGAGAATACCAGCTTGCCTGGTGAGAGGGGAGGGGTTGATTAGGGTTCAACAAAGGAAGAGTTGAACACGGGGATAGCAAGGGGCGTGGTGAAGGGTTGGTATCGGATACAATATAGCTGGTCCAGCTTGTCCTGCCACGATGCCGACTCCATTGCCTCCGAGTTTGAGAACACCAGCTTGCCTGGCGGGAGGGGAAGGGGGTTGAACCATGGAGAGAATAAGGGGTGTGCAAAAAGGGGTTATGCGAGGAGCTCTTGTACAGCTGGTCCAGCTTGTCCTGCGACGACGCCAAATCCATCGCCTCCACGTTCAAAAACACCAGCTTGCCTGGTGGGAAGGGAGAGAGGGGGTTGAACACGGAGAGAGCAGGGGTTGGTCGCAACTTGACTTAGAGGCACATCTACAGTCGGCTTGTTCCGCCATGATGCCGACTCCATTGCCTCCATGTTTGAAAACACCAGCCTGCCTGGGAGGAGGGGGGAAAGCAAGGGGCATGGTGGAAGGAGGGGGCGGGGTGGTGGTGTTGTGGGGCGGCTGTGCACATCATCGCACTGATCTTTAAAGAGCTCCTGGAACGGTGTTGGGAGGCGCTTAATGCCCAGCTCTGCTGCCAGCATGCCGCCCGTGCACGTGCCACATGCCAGGTCGAACAACTCGTGCCCAGAATCCACTTCACACGACAAACCTTACAGAAACCACACCCATAGAAAACCAGCACATGTGAAACCCCTGAAGCCCCACTCACCCAGGCGCCTGTAGACGTCATCACACTGTTCCAGAGTCAACCGTTTGATCCCCAGCTCAGCCGCCAGCATGCCACCAGTGCACGTGCCACACACGAGGTCAAACAGCTCGTGCCCCAAACGCACCTCACCCTAGAGCCACAGAAACCCCTGAAAACCTCTGAAAGCCACTCACCCAGGCGCCTGTAGACGTCATCACACTGATCCAGAGTCAACTGTTTGATCCCCAGTTCAGCTGCCAGCATGCCGCCACTGCACGTGCCACACACGAGGTCAAACAGCTCGTGCACACGCCTGCCCAAACCCAGTTCCCTTTACCCTACAGCCACACAAACCCCCCAAAACCCACTCACCCAGTCGCCTGTAGACATCATCACACTGGTCCAAAGTGAGGCGCTTGATTCCCAACTCAGCTGCCAGCATGCCACCAGTGGACGTGCCACACACGAGGTCAAACAGCTCGTGCACGCGCCTGCCCGTGCGCCCCTCGATCTGCCGCAGCATCTGCACCATGGCCATGCCCCGCATGCCGCCCCCATCCATCACTAGTATACGCACACCCCTCTGCCCCACTGCCCTCGTGCACAATGCTCCCTGTACCAGCCGATTTTCACCTGCAGTGCACCGCACCGCACCACACCACACCACACAGTACAGCACATCACAGCACATCATAGCACAGTGGAGAGCGAGCAGGGACAGGATAAAATGAGAGGGAGGAGGAGTGGGATTAGCTGCGCAGCATCCGCACCATTGCCATGCCGCGCATGCCCCCTTCCTCCATCACCAGCACGCGCATGCATGCACCTCTGCCCCACTGGCCTAGTGCATAGCGCCTCCTGCATCAGCCGGTTCTCCCTTTCAATGCCCACGAACGGGACAGATTGAAGGGAGATATGCTAGCAAACCAAGATGGCAAGGCACCTTACCAGAAATAGCAAGTCAGGCTACCCGATATAGCAAGCCAGCTTACCCAGAATAGCAAGCACCCGCGCTGCCGCCTTGCGAAACGAGAAGACAGTTGGAACCTCCACCACTAGCGCCCTGTGCTGGTACCTGCCCACACCCCCTCCACCCCCCCTCATCCCCTCCCCTTCCGCTCCCAAACCCCCTTCTCCCGCTTCCTCTCCCCCTCCCCCGCCCCCGAAGCCCCCGCCGCCCAGCCCCGCGCCCCCTGTGGCGAGGTGATAGAGCCCGTCTAGGAAGCCTGGTTGGGCCACCAGCAGGCGGCGGTTGTCCGGGCAGAATGACAAGTTACCCACGGCCATGAGGGCTTGAGTTTGCACCTAGGAGAAGGAGGAGGATGGAGGGAAGGGGGTGAGAGAGGGAAAAAAACGTGGGGTTGTTGGACGACCAATAAGGAAGAGGTTAGAACGGAAAGGGTGCAGGTAGGGTGGCGGTGAGAAGGGTGCAGAAGGTTTCGAGGAGAGAGGTATGGATGGAGGAAGAGAGGGGGAGAGAGCAGCAGAGCAGGGCGCTTCACAAGGTGGAACTTTGAGTGGGGGAAAGGAGAGATGCAACAGTCATAGCCGCAGCAAGCAGATGGCTCTAAGCATGCCACACCCCACACACGACCCATACCATCCTGCACGCTACGAGCCATACATCTCATCCACATACCACCCTGCATGCTGCACATACGCCATATAGCACCCCTCCCCCCCCCCCTCTCCCCCTTCCGCACCCGCACACACATACCATCATGTGCGTGTGGTGGCACAGAGTCACAGACTGGTGAGAATGGCCGCCGAGTCGACGTTCAAAATGCGCGCGGCAACGGAGTCAGAGGCGAGGGCGAGGTTGGCAATGACACGCAGCACGGACACGAGGATCTCCGGCTGCTGGGAGTACACCACCACACACTATGCCCTACCCCTACCAACCATCCTGCACGCCACATGGCATACCCCACCCGAACCACCCATCCAGTACCACCCCCTACCCCCCAGACGCGTACCATCATGTGTGTATGATGACACAGACGCGTACCATCATGTGTGTATGATGACACAGACTGGTGAGAATAGCCGCAGAATCGACGTTCAGAATGCGTGCAGCGACGGAGTCGGAGGCGAGGGCGAGGTTGGCAATGACGCGCAGCACTGACACGAGGATCTCCGGCTGCTGGGAGAGCAGCAGCGAGCAGATGGCTGCTAGCACGTCCGACTTCACGAGATGGGTCACCAGTGCATCGTCCATTGCCAGGGACGAGAGCGCATGGCACGCCTGCTCCACCTGGTGTCGGGGGGGAGGGGGGTGGACGAAGGGGCGGAGGAAGACGGGGGGTTTAGGGTTTGCCTTGAGGTGTCTCAAAGAGCAGCAGCGAGCAGATGGCCGCCAGCACGTCTGACTTCACCAGGTGGGTGACCAGTGCGTCGTCCATTGCCAGGGAGGAGAGGGCATGGCACGCCTGCTCCACCTGATGAGGGTGGGGGAAGGGGAAGAGGGAATGGGGGGTTGGGGGATTGACGGGAGTGCTGGGAGAGCAGCAGTGAGCAGATGGCCGCCAGCACGTCCGATTTCACCAGATGGGTCACCAGTGCATCGTCCATTGCCAGGGAGGAGAGGGCATGGCACGCCTGCTCCACCTGGTGTGGGTGGAGAAGGGGTGTTTGGAGAGGATTTGAGCCGCCTCAAGACACAGCAATGAGCAGATGACACCACTACTATGTGACGCCAGGGCATGTGGCATGATCATGCACCACCACCCACGCATCAACCATGCACCACAACTCACGCCCCATAGCCCATGCCCCACGCAAGCAAACCCACCCACTCACCACATTCTTGGAGTCTGCCAGCACCATGCCCACGAACTGCCGGATAGCGCTCGCATCCTTGCTGATCTGCTCTCCAGCCCCACCCAACTCCACACGCCACAGCCCATGCCCTCCTCCCATGCGGCCCCTTCTAACTCACCACGTGCTTGGAGTCAGCAAGCAGCATGCTCACGATCTGCCTGATCGCGCTCTCATCCTTGCCAATGGCCGCGCGGTTCTCGCGGTCCTCACAGATGCGTGCCAGGGCGGACGCCAGCAGCGGGTGGTGCACGGACGAGTAGCGGAAGATGAGGGCGAAGAAGTCGCTCAGGCAGTGCTTGGACGCAGAGAAGTAGGAGCCTTGCTGCGCCTCCAGTTGCTGAAGATGCATGAGAGGGGAGGGGGGCGGGACGGGCGGGAGAGAAGAGAACGAGGAATGGGCGAGTGGCCGAGTATGAGGGCAAACGTGTTCCTCAAACGCTGTTAAACGCGACAGTCTGTGCAATGATGGACTCACCACGATGCTAACGTCAACGATCTTGAGGTCTGGGTCGCTGACAATGCGCACGTTGGCAAGGGATAACATGCGCAGGTGGCGGCAGGGCAGGATCTCTGGGAAGAACTCGAGCGGGTTGTTGAACAGCCGCAGCACCCTCAGGTCTGCCAGGCACCTGGACAGGGGGTAGATGGAGGGTAGAAGGGGGGGGGGGAGTGTGATTGGAACTTGGAGGGCGGTGTTGTGAAATGTGGTTGATGTAGGGATGGTGGCGCAAGCAAGAAAGGATCTCTGGGAAGAACTCGAGCGGGTTGTTGAACAGCCTCAGCACCTTCAGGTCCGCCAAACACCTGCAGCGCACAGGGGGGCAGGCGAGGGGTAGGCGGTGGGGAAGGAAATGGTTGGGACTTGTGGATTGGGGATGGTGTAGGGATCGCTCCACGAGCCAGGCAGGATCTCCGGGATGAACTCGAGCAGGTTGTTGAACAGCCGCAGCACCCTCAGGTCCGCCAGGCACCTGCAAGGGGGTGGATTGAGTTGCCAAGTGGAAGGGGTTGTGTTGATTAGGGGATGGAACAACAGCGCAAGGAGCAGTGGCGACAGAAGGCGAGTGGCAGAAGAGTGGCAAAGGGGTAGCGGAAGAGTGGAAGGCGGGAAGAAGTGGAGTGAAAGGCACGTAGCAGACGCACCTGAAGTCGAGGAGGGGACGCACAAGGCGGTTGTTCTCGAGGGACAGCTCCCTCAGGTTGGTGCACTCCCGCAGTGTGACTGCCACGGGGAGGGATGGTTTAGGACAGGAGAAAGAGGGCAGGGGAGAGGAACAAGAGGGTGTGTGTGAAATTAACGATTGGAGCACGTAACATGCTTTAGTCAATGCATGCAAGGTCTCCAGGACCAGGCACAGGGCCCAGGACTAGGCACCGAGGAGCACGGTCCAGATAAGTCCACACGCGCACTTGGCATGGCAAGGGAGGGATGGTGCACACTTTTATTAGACAACTTCCTCTGCACAGAGGGCTCAATACTCAATTCCTGAGACACCTCAACTCTGTTGTGTGTGACTCAGTTGAGAGAAAAGAGAGATGGAGCTCATGCGGGAGAAATAGCATTTTCATGTCAAAGGAGAATTCATTGACCATGCCTCTCAGCTTGGCCAGATTCATTCTCATTTGACACAAAAATCTCCTTCTCCCGCATCAGCTCTATCTCCTTTTCCCTCAGCTGAGTTTGCACGTCGGAAATTCTCTTCTTCGTAGCCTCCTTGGCCGTCTCAAACTGAACTTGCTATATGGAAGAGATGACATCCAGCACCCTCAACTGCTGCAGCTGCCTTCTCTTTAAGGTGGTCTGTGCTGTGTGCCATGGGAAGAGAGACTCACTAGACACACAGCACAGACCTCAATCAAAACTATACTGTGGGCGTGACTCACTGGGCAGGTGAGCAGGTTGTTATCAGCGCATCCGCGCAGCACCAGCTAATCCCCTCTTTTAGTAACACTAAGAATCACTCACTAAACACACGGGCCTAGAAAATTGATTCTGAAATGCCTTACAAGCCCTAAAGATTCTGCTGCGCGTGACTCACTGGGCACGGTGGTGAGCTGGTTGTTGTCAGCGCGCAGCACCCTCAGCTGCTGCAGCTAACCCCTCTTTATGGTGCATTACGAGATACGCACTGGGCACACAGAAGCTGCCAAGTGTGCGTGACTCACTGGGCACGGTGGTGAGCTGGTTGTTATCAGCGCGCAGCACCCTCAGCTGCTGCAGCTGCCCGATCTCCCCCGGCAGCGCGCTCAGGCGGTTGTTCTCCACCTCCAGTACCTCCAGTAGGGGCAGGTTCATGGTGAAGTTGGGGAGGACCTGGAGTGGGGTTGGTTCAGGAGAAAGAAGTAGAGAGGGTGGGACAAAGAGGAGCACTCAGAAGGTTGTTTTCCACCTCCAGTACCTCCAGCAGGGGCAGGTTCATGGTGAAATTGGGCAAGACCTGGGGTGGGGGTAGGAAGAAGAAGGGCTACTGAGGAAAAAACAGTGGCGCTAGGGACTTGCTCTCCACCTCCGGTACCTCCAGCAGGGGCAGATTCATGGGAAGGACATTGGGTCAGGAAGAAAGAAGAAGAGAGAGGGGACAAAGACGAGCACTAAGAAGGTTGCTTTCCGCATCCAGTACCTCAGCATGGGCCTAAAAAAGGCAACACGCACTTACAGAGAAGGCAAAAGGTTAGGGAGGGATTGATATGCTTATAAACGGGGCACAGGAGGTCTGAGAAAGGTTGATGTGCTTACAGAGAGGGAGCAGGAGGAGAGGGAGAGGGCCTTCAACGAGCGCCAGTGGTCGGAGTAACCCAACATGCTCTCCGCTTCTGCTGTTGACAGCACCTGCTGCTGCTGCTGCTTCTGCTGCTGCTCTGGGGAAGCGGATACTGACTGAAACTGCTGTTGCTGCTGCTGTCGTCCCCCTGCTGACATTCTTCCTTTCTCGCTTCCATCTCCCGATCCTGACCTTACCAGAGCCCCACCACTCCCTGCACTCCCGCCCGACCCTGAACCGCCACCTGAACCAACAGAACCCCCTCCTGCACCTGAAATTCCACCTGAGGTCCCTGTGGGAATCGCGCTGGCAGCAGCAGCAGCGACGTCAGCCCGGTGGAGGGCGACACCCTTGGCGTCTAGCAGCTTAGCCAGCATGGACAGCCCATCGCTGCCTGAATAGGACGAGCTGCTGCTGGCGGCTATTCGCGTCAGTCGCAGCACGTGCAGCGGTTCCCTCTGCTTGTGCACTCTCATGTTCATCCGGACCGTCCACTTCCCAGAATCCTGCAATCTCAGCCGTTCATCTCCTGAGTCTTTTGATGCTTCGTCTGGTGCTGCTTCGGGTGATGCTGCCTTGCTGTCCTGATTCTCTTCGCCACGTGGCTCCACGTGCATGCCTACCACCACGTGGTCATGGGGCGGAGGTAGGGTTACCATCACGAGTGATTGTAACCGTAACGCCACCTGCTCCTCGTCGTCGCCAGCAGACCAATCGACCTGAATGCGAAACCTGCACTGTCGCTCCGCGCTCACCATTGGCTCGCGAATCTTGCTCAGTAACGCTCTCGCCACCGCGCCAGGCCCACCCTCGCCGTCCGATTCATCCCCAGCGTCAGATGCGGCGGACGACGTGGTCCCATCTAAGCCGTTGGTTTCAACGGGGAGATCTTTCTCTCTCTGCTTCTCCTTCTCCCCGTAGCCTAACTCGAGCTGGAATTTGTCCGTCTCCCGCTTCCATCCCCCCATCCACGACATCTTGAACCGCTTGTAAGCACCTGTCGCTCCTTCAAAGTCTCTACCTCGTAAAATCCCTTGGGATTGCCGCGAACTCCTTAGATGTCCTCGAGATTTGCAAGATCGTTGAGATTTTCGTGATCTTCCAGCTTCGTCGACTTCTTTTTTTCCTGAAGCCGCAGCGATTCCAGGCGACGCGGGACGAGATACGTTCGGATAAGCACGCGTGGCGATTGAGTTGGGAGATTCAGCGACGCGCGAAGATCGTTTGAAGGATGTCGAACCAGGAACGGGACGCGACTGCGCTTGAAGCTGAAAAGACGGCGATTGAAGCGATGCCGACGGACCCTGGAGAGACGATGGCTGACCAAGCTGATCTGACTGCTGCTGCTCTTTCGCCTTGGAGGCGATTCCGAGTTTGCGGGAGAGAATCGAGGAGCCGGATCTGAACAGACTCGATTCGGACTCTTGGATCAGTCGCGACGTGCCGAGTGAGACGCTCCCAGGCTCTGGATCGGGAATACGCGACGAACTAATCCGTCTACGCTTGGAGTCTCGTGATTCGTCAGAAAGATGTACCTTATTAGGACAGCGAACGGACATTAGTCACAGAGAAATACGTCCTCAGTTATTAAATCCATCGCCATTACATCCTCATCACACGGTCGTCATAAGAAACTCTAGATCACAAAAAGAAGAGCGCCGGGAGTTTTTTTTGTGCAAAACGGCGCACGCGGTGCGCGATGTGGTATAATAATGGTGATCTCTCGGTCTCTCTGCTCGGTTTCGTTCAGAGCTTGTTCTGCGCTGCACCATAGCCATGCGCATCCTTTCACTCTTCTACCTCCATTATCAATGGGCCGCTTGACTTGGTTTGGCTCAGCTGCCCGTTTCCAGATGGTTCATGTTTACTCGGCAACTAGACAAACCTCTCCAACGCGGCATATCTCTCTGGAACGTTTTTGTTTCACCCCGATCAAATGCTGTCGTCAGCGGCACCAGCCGGCTTGTAGCGCGCGCCATTTCGCAGGGAGGAGGGAGGTTGTCAGGGTGGTTACACTCGTGTCAGGGCGCGCCCGCCCTTCCCCTTCTTTCGCTACTGTCCATGTTCCTCTTCCGCCAATCTTACCGCCACCCTCTTCTTCCAACCATCAGCAAACCTCACTTCAGCCCCCGCCTCCTTCTCCTACACACGCCTCTCGTCCTCACGATAAGCCTCCTCTTATCTCCCAGCAACAGAAGGACGCCCTTCACCAAGTCATTGCAGACGCCATGACTTCGGCGCGGCCATCCCATCCTTCGATGTCTCGCTCCACCTCTGCCCCTGCTCGAGACGCTCAATCAACGGACCATGCCACCCCACCTGCCACTGCCAACGATCAACACCCCCTCTCGCATTACACTGATGATCCTCCTCCTTTCCCTACCTCTCCCCCGCCCCCTTCTACTTCCACCGCAGCAGCTCCTCCCACCAATCCTCCTCCTCCTGCTGCCCGTTCTTTTTCCTGCCCTATATGCCACCGACCTTGCGCTAATGCCGGTGCCTTGACTCGTCATACCACTTCTTGCCAGCAAAACTCTACCGCACGTCAGCAAGCTGCATGTCCTCCTCCTCGCTCCGCCCCTCCTCGCGCTCAGCCTGCATCTGCGCAGGCCTCCACTCCGCCAGCAATCCCTTCTGCCACCTGGGATGCTGTCCTTGAGTGGGATTGGCCCGCTTTCTTCAGCCCGGTGGTTTCTCCCGGTCCCATCATCCGCCGCATCCCTCCTCGCATTCGCCTTCTTGTGCTTGACGCCATGCTTATCCCCCTTCGTCGGCTTGCACAGCATCCCTCTGACACTGCTGCGCATCTTATCCTGCTTGCGTTTCCGCGCCTCGTCCTCCGCCTAACTGCAGCTACCCCTTCGCAATCGCTTACCGCAGCATGTGCCCTTCTTGCTCAGCGCTTCATCAGTGGGGACTGGCATGCGCTTTTCCTTGAAGCCTCTGCCGCTGCCACCCCTGCTGCTCGCCCTCTCAACCTTGCTTCAGCACGCTCCACAGCCACGCAGGCTCGCCTCCATCGTGCCGCGCGATTTGCTAAGTGCGGCGACTGGTCTCGCTCCCTGGCAGCATTGGAAGCCGGCGAGTTCGCACCCCCCTCCTCGGAAACCATCTCCTCTCTCTCTTCCAAGCATCCACCAGCTCCGCAGCCTCTTCCTCATTGGATATCCACCTTCACCCCAGACTCTTACCCACAGCTTTCAGCCCCGCTCCTCCACCTGGCTCTTCGATCAGCCCCACGGGGTACCGCGGCTGGCCCTTCGGGTTGGTTGATTGAGCACCTCAGAGACACCTTCCTTACCTCCCAGCAGCACCTTCCCTCCCTCCTCCGCCTCTTCCAGAATTGGCTGCAGGCCGAGCTCCCACTCTCTGTCCGCTCCTATTACACTGCGTCTACTCTCGTCGCCCTTAAGAAGCCGCAGGGTGGGGTCCGGCCGATTGCTATTGGTGAAGTTCTCCCGCGCCTTCTTTCCCGCTGCATCACCCTCATGTTCAAGCAGCAAATGCGTGACACCTTCCTTCCATGCCTGCAGTTCGGGGTCGCGGTTCCTGCAGGCATAGAGGTGATGGCGCATGCCGTACAATCGGCCCTTTCCCTCCATCCTGATTGGGCGGTGCTTCAGCTTGACGTCGCTAACGCCTTCAACTCTTTCAACAGGATTGCCATGTTCGAGGCTCTCCGCTCCTCACCCTTCTCTCCTCTCATTCCCTACTTCAGCCTCTTCTACTCCTCCCCGTCTCCCCTTCACTACCGCAACGGCCCCACCCTCCATACATTCGAGTCCGCCTCGGGTGTGCGCCAGGGGGACCCCTGCGGTCCCTTTCTCTACGCCCTCACCCAGCAGCTTGCCATTCTTCCCACACAAAACCAGTTCCCATCCATCTTCATCTCCTCTTATGCTGACGACACCTTCCTCGTTGGCCCTCCTTCAATCATCACCACTGCCTTCACAGCCCTGACCGACCGCCTTCATTCCTTGGGCCTTACAGTCCAACCCTCGAAGTGTTCCATCTGGTGCCCTCTTGACTGGCCTCAGGGCTGCGCAACTCCTTCGGGTGTACCTATCGCTCCCAACGGCCTCAACGTTGCGGGGGTCCCGATTGGCTCGGACGGCTACATCATCTCCACAGTACAGGAGAAGCTCGCCTCATTTACTACCTCTCTTCCTCTTCTTCACCAGCTTCATGACCCTCAGACTGCCTCCCGCATCCTCTCCCAGTGCGTCTCAGCCCGTCCTTCCTTCCTCCTCCGGACTGTATCGCCATTCCCAGAGATTCATGACCTCTTCAGCTCTTGGGATTCTACCCTCTTGGACCATTTCACCCAGCTTTTTGGCCCCGGTTATTGGATCCTAGACACGGAACAGACAAAAACAGCGCAGCAGCAAGTCTTTCTTCCAATTCGCCTTGGGGGCTTTGGCCTTCGTTCCTCCGCCTCTACAGCACCTCTTAGTTACCTCTGCAGTTGGGCCCAGTCGCTTCCACTACTGTCCACTCACTTCATCACTGACGGCTCACCACTTTTCCGCCCCTTTCTCTCATCTGACACCATTCATCGCCTCGACGAGTTCATTCCAGCTGCTACTGCCATGCTCCCAAAAGAAGTTCGTGACCGTTTCCCTTCCTGGTCCCACCTCCTACCCGGCTATCCCCCCAAACTCTTCACTCATCTCTCACAGCAGCTTGAGGCTTCTTTGCTCGAAAAAGTCCGCTCGTCTGTCACTTCCCCACTTCGCCTGGCCCGTTTAACCTCCCTGCAGGGCCCGCATGCGGGGGATTGGCTTACTGCGGCTCCTTCTTCGCCTCAGTTGCAGCTCACTGAATCCGAATGGCGCATCGCTGCTGCTATCCGCCTTGGCCTCCCCATTCCTCACCTTAGCTCCGCTGAAACTTGCGCCTGTGGACATCCTTTCTCTGACTCCTCCCTCCCATCCCATGCCCTACGCTGCCCCAAGAACAACGAGCCTACCAGAGTGCATGACGCCATCAAACACGAACTGCACCGCATTATCTTGGAGCTTGGTCTCGTGTCGCAGTTGGAAGACCACCACCTCCTTCCAGGCCGCCGACCTGACATCACCTGCAGGGACCTCCAATCCGGCACCACCTTGGCTTTGGACGTTTCGGTAGCCGACTCGCAGCACGGCTTCCCCCACTCCAATGCTGCCACCGTCATTGGGTCAGCCGCAGCTACACGCGAGACTGAGAAGGCAACTCTGTACGCACCATCCCTGCACGCCCGTCCCGACGTCAAGTTACTTCCACTGGCGCTTGAGACTTTCGGGTGTTTTGGGAAGTCATTCCAGGATTTCCTCCGACACTGCAGTCGTCGTGGTGCTTCGCGTCTTCGCGATTTGAGCGGTTCATCTGACCTCATTCCACAACTCTTCGAGACCAGTTTTTACAAACGCATTTCCCTCGTCCACCAGCGTGAGCAGGCCCGCACAATCTGCAGGCGGGCACAGGTTCGATTCACAGTAGCGTCCAGCACTATCCCTTCGGAAGTTATTCCACCGTCGGCAGCGGACTTTGCGTACTTGGGGAATGATTACTGAAAGTGATAGAGGGACTACTCCTGCTGCTTCCTTTGCACAGGCTCTTTTAGCTACCGTAGCTACCAGTCTAACCTCCTGACTCGTGTACTTTTGTACCCTTTATATTGTCAATAAAGTGGTTACACTCGTGTTACCACATCCACCAGGATGTGCTGTTCACCAGCATGGCAATTTCAAGGGTGTCAAACTGAGAGATTATAGCGAGGTGGCTGTTACCAGCTGTACAAGCCATTCGCCGTGTTGAGCATGCCACGTGCTATGGAGCAGTTGATAGCACAATAAAGCACTAATGTAAACGAGCCCATGAAACACTTCATTTCAAAACACGATAGTTCTAGGATTTTGGTTTACTCACTATCTGTGTGTTCGTTGAGCCGAGAGAAGGTTAGCATCTCCCTCGACAAGGACGAGATTAGCCTTCGGGCTCTCAACACACAACGGTTAAGGCATCCCGCGCGAGCGGACATAACCAATTTTTCTTCCACTTTTAGTGGAGAACCTCCTACTCGTTTTGCTTAGTTCTTGCGCGAAGTCGTAGGTAACGCGCGCGCCGTTGCCCCCACTCTGTCTACCTGGTTCTTTCGGCGCTTACCAGAAAGACCCGGGACTTGTAGACTTCAGCCGTCTAGCCGCCCGCATTCCACGGCTAAACTTGAAATCTCTCACGTGGAACCCTGCGGGTTTTGAGGCGCCTGATTTGTCCTCTCACTGAGACCACTGCAACGGGTTAGGAAGGTTAGCCGTTGCAAGGTGCGAGTCGTAAAGGACTTCGCGCGGAAACAGGCTGTGAGGGAAGGGACCAGAGGGGAGCGGAGGGTTGTAGAGGAATACAAACGAGTGAAAAGGAGTGAGGAGGAGTGGTGATCGATAAGCGGGGGAGGGAGGGCGGAGATGTCGACGAGAAGGGGAGCGCCATCGAGAGGCGCGCCCAAGCACCAGAACAAGTGAGCCCCTCTGCGAAACGTGCGAAACCCTCTGCCCGACCGTCCCGTGTGCCTTGCAGAACCCGCCTACGCACTCCAAGGCAGTGGTTTTTGCAAGATGCTGTTCCTGCCAGGGCAGCGTGGGTCTGCCAAATCCACAACTCAAGTTGAACCCTTGATGGATTACTGTCCCCGTCCTGTGCCATTCCCGTGGCGTGCCAGGGTAGCATGGATTGCTGAACCCAGAACCCCGGTTAAACCCTGGAGTGTGTGTGTGTGTGTTCTGGCTGTGTGCACGTCCCTCCCTCCCAACGGCATGGCAGGGTAGCATGGGTTCCGGAACGCAACGTGCAGAAGAAAGAAACGGTGAGCCCAGAGAGGGGGGGGGGGGAAGGAGGGAAGCGCGGGGAGTGAGGGGGAGAAAGGTGTGAGTGCGCGCCCTTCCTCGCGTTTGGGTTGTATGGCATGGCAGGGCAGCATGGGTTTCAGAGAGCAACGTGTAGAAGAAGGAGACAGTGAGGCGAAGGGGTGGGAGACAGTGAGGCGAAGGGGTGGGAGACAGTGAGGCGAAGGGGTGGGAGACAGTGAGGCGAAGGGGTGGGAGACAGTGAGGCGAAGGGGTGGGAGACGGTGAGGCGAAGGGGTGGGAGACAGTGAGGCGAAGGGGTGGGAGACAGGGGGAGAAAGGGAGGAGACGAGGGGAAAACTTTGGAGAGTTCTCAAGAAGGAAAGAAAGAAGGATAGAGAGAGCGGGTAGTAGGGAGGGAGCAGTGTGAGGACGAGAGGGAGAGGGGCAGTGTGGGTTTCGGAGCTATATGTTCATGGGGCACGGGGCACGGCGCATGGGTCATGGGTCATGGGTCATGGGTCATGGGTCATGGTTCATGGGTCATGGGGCACAGGGCACAGGGCACAGGGCACGGGTCATGGTTCATGGGTCATGGGTCATGGGTCATGGGTCATGGGTCATGGGTCATGGGTCATGGGGCACGGGGCACGGGGCACAAGGAGGCAGTGGGATGTGGGGAGGAGGAAAGCGAAGAACAAGGGAGCTGGGCACCAAGTCGAGAGGCCATTCGCCAACACCTCCTTTCGCTTTCCTGACTCCCCCCTCCTAACACCCTTCTACCCCTTTGGTTTCTCCCCCCTTCCCCTCCCATCCCAACTTCCCACCAGGAGCTGGGCACCAAGTCGAGGCCGTTTGCCAACATCTCAGGAGTGTGCCGGCGCTGCAGCGAGCAGATCGCATGGCGCCGCAAGTGAGTGGTTGAAAGCGGCTGAGCAGGGCTGGGAGTGGGGTTGAATGGGCCGGGCGCGAGAGGGCTTCTCGTGTGGCGGCGCTGCTGCGACCAGATCGCATGAAGCCTCTCATGTCAGTGGTGTGTGCTGTGAGGGGCTGAGTGGGGCCACAACAGGAGGGCTAGTTGTGGGCTGGTCGGGCTGACTTGAGGGATGCTGGAGTGGGAGTGGCGGGGGATGAGGAGTGCTGGGGAATTGAATGGGCGAGGGGAGAGAGGAAAGAGGAGAGACGAGAAAGGGGGGAGAATCTTTAGTAGCGGAAACGGGTGCTACACACTCTGCACATGAATGTCTCCGTCTGCTGCATTCCCTGCTGACCGACCCCAGCATTTCCCCTGCACATTCCTCCTACGTCTCCCTCCCCCTATTCCCCAACTCCCCTCTTCCCTGCCCCTCCTTTCTGTCGCCACAGCTCTCAGCTTTCTGTTACACCCTCCACGCTCCACATACAGAGAGGTGACTTTTGAGTCGACTCAAACGTCACCTCCACGCCCCACACACACCACTCACCCCAGTCCTCTCTTTCTTCCTCCCACACCTCCCCTCACCCACACCCCATTCTCATCGCCCTTGTCCCCCCTCTCCGCCCCTGGGCGCAGGTACGGCAAGTACAAGCCTCTCACCGAGCCTGCCAAGTGGTGAGACGCGGAAGCAACACCAGAAAATGGTGCTTGAGTCGTTACAGTTGTGACGCCTGCCGGCTGATAGAGCTGTGAGGCCAACACAGCGATGTGGTTGTTGGGTTAAGTCGATTCAAACAGGCTACACATGCTATATGGTTGCTGGGTTAAGTCGATTCAAACAGGCTACACATGCTATATGGTTGCTGGGTTAAGTCGATTCAAACAGGCTACACATGCTATATGGTTGCTGGGTTAAGTCGATTCAAACAGGCTACACATGCTATATGGTTGCTGGGTTAAGTCGATTCAAACAGGCTACACATGCTATATGGTTGCTGGGTTTTCTTCTGGGAAATTGACGTGCGCTCTCTTGATTGTTTTTTTTCTCGCTCATCCATTAAGTCTGGTTTCCCTTCGTCATCCCTCCACTCCCCTTCCTTTCCACTTGCCCTATCCCTGAGGTGCCTGTATCTCCCTCCCACCACTCATTCACCCTTCTTCCCGTTCTCTCCCTTGCCCTTCTCTCCCTCATCCAATCCTGGGTCCACCAATCACAGCCAAGCATGTGGCAAGAGGAATGTGAAAGACGCATACCACGCCATCTGCAGAGGTGCGCATTCCATCCCTGCACTGTCATGCCATCTGCAGAGGTGCGCGTGAAAGGCATGCCAAGTTACCAACCATTTGATAGTTTCAAGATGGAGCATGCCACTCATGGCATACCATACCATCTGCAGAGGTGAGGCATGCCATTCATGCCATACCATGCCATCTGCAAAAGTGCATGTCACGTTGCCAAGGTGCCAAGGTGCTTCATCTTACCAACTATCTGATACTTTCAAGGTGTGCGCCATGCCATTCACTTGCACTATCCATCATGCCATTGCATGATAGGATTTTCATCCATATATTCCTTCCTTCCTCACCTCATCTCAGCTATAAAAAAGATCCAAGAGTCAGAAACTTTTGCCTGAGCTTACGTATGTCTTCCCCCATCATTTCCCCCCATCCATCCATCCATCCATCCATCCATCCATGCATGCATGCATTGCGTGTGTATGTATGTATGCGTTGCTCCACGCATGTCCACGCATGCATGGCACACAGCATGTGCGCAGGAGAAAGGGTTGTGCCCCAAGTGCCGGCAGCCCACCAAAGAGATCGTGGAAGAGTCCCTCTTCATGCCTTTCTTCTGTCTTCCCTGCATGTATCCATTCCATTGCCCCATCCATCCATGCATGGCACACAGCATGTGCGCAGGAGAAAGGGTTGTGTGCCAAGTGCCGGCAGCCCACCAAAGAGATCGTGCAAGAGTGAGACCATTCGAGACGCACAATCCTTGCACCCCCAACCCCATCTGCTCTGCCCTCGCACTGTTTGCCTTCGTGCCTTTTGCCAAACAGATTGTGCAAGCATAAGACGCTTACCCTTCTAACCCCCCTCCTCTTCCTCCCTCGACTCGCTTCCTTTTCTCGTTTCCACTCCCATTCCCTCCCATAATGTTTTTCTCGTTGTGTCTACTCTGCTGTCCATGCCTGCACCGCTCTGCACACCCACCCACCCACCCACCCATGCATCAGTGGAGCAGCAGTGCGGGAGAATGAGATGAAGCAACTCGAGGAGGTGAGGGGGCGATATACAGAGCATACCTGGGTACAATGTGCTCTGTTTTTGTTTGCAACCCTTCTCCCCTCCCCCCTCTTGGCTCTCTGCTTCCGCCACTGCCTCTGTGTGCAGCTCTTTGAAGGTTGAGGGAACTTTCGAGTGGACTTAAAGCCCCATCCCTTGTCTGCTCTCCACTCTCTGCCACTGTGCTCTCTCTCTGTGCAGGCCCTCGGGAGGCTGAGGGAGAGGGAGAGGCGAAGCTTGCTGCGTGCGGTACGTGCTTGTCTTTCCCCCTTGCTGCGTGCGGTACGTGCTTGTCTTTCCCCCTTGCTGCGTGCGGTACGTGCTTGTCTTTCCCCCTTGCTGCGTGCGGTACGTGCTTGTCTTTCCCCCCTGCCCAGGTGATTGGGTGTGCCCAGGTATGCCCAGATGTGCCACTCTGCTTTGCGTGCTGCACGCCCTCGGGAGGCTGAGGGAGAGGGAGAGGCGAAGCTTGCTGCGTGTGGTATGTGCTCGGGTGTCCAGGTGTCAAGGTGGCCAAGTGTCCAGGTGCCAAGCTACCCAAGTGTCCAGGTGTCTCCAGGTGCTCAGGTGCTCAGGTGTGCTCAATTCCTGAGGTGTCTAAGAGCCTTCCCCCTAGTCCATGGTCTAGAGCATCAAAAGGCTCAAGCTTTGTGAGCATCGTTTCTGTTGTCCTTCAATGCTGGTGCTCAGAGAAATGGACGCGCAACACATGACTGCTGGTTGTGTTTGTGCTGCCTCCGGTTCTGTTGTGGTGGCAGATAGAGAAGGGCAATGCAGGAGCAGCAAACAGCGTGGCAAAGGTTTGGAAAGTCTCAAAACTGCCTGCCATCCTGGTGCCGTTGGATTTTATGTGTGGCAGATGGAGAAGGGCAATGCAGGGGCGGCAAACAGCGTGGCAAAGAAAGCAGCGAAGAAAGCAGCAGAGGGAGACAATAGTGAGGAGGATGAGGATGATGATGAGGAAGATGAGTGGGAGGAAGATGAGGGGGAGGATGAAGGAGAGAAGGATGAGAACGAGGGGGAGAAGGATGAGGAGGGAGAGGAGGATGGGGAGGATGGGGATGGGGATGGGGGAGAGGCGGGGCAGGAGGATGAGGATGAGGATGATGATTGCAAGGATGCAAGCAAAGGTGTTGGAACAGCGGACGGTGCTGAGACTAAGAAAGACGACAACACATGAGCTGATTCTTTAATCGATTAAAAGTCCATGAGACAGCTGTTGATCGACGACAAGGGTATCAGTTCGGGGCAGAGGGTTGATACTGCCGAACAGAGAAACTTCAGTGCAATGTAAGGGGGCCATTGAAGTGTACGCAGAGAGTAATTGAATATTCTGACATATTGTATAAGGAATGTTCAATGTAGCTAGTACCGTAGGTAGCTGACCAATCTACTAGTTTTTTGGAATGGTACACATGGATTTACTTCCTCCACACCACAATTACAGCTTCACCTGGGTATAACGGTAAGTATCTATCAACAAGTTTTGTATGTACACCACACTCATTTCAGAAGACTAAGTCAGATGACCACCAGCCAAACCCATCGTCTCCTCCCCCACCACCACACACCCCACCCTGAGTGGTGTGGCACATCACATGAAGCTATCATTCAGCACTAAACCACCTGCCATGGTCACTAACAGTCATCTCGGAATGGTCACTCAAGAGTAATCACAGAGGACTGGGCCGGACGCCCAGCCAAACCCGTCTCCTCCCCCACCCCCATGCCACGCTCCTTCCCCATTTTCTCCCCTTCCTTCTTCCCCTCCACCCCTCCCCCTCCCCCCATAACCACAGACGGCACACCCCCTGTCTCCTGCCCCCCCTTCCCCATCCCCATGCTCTCCAGCTCAACTGCCCTCATCTCAGTCACCCACCCCTTGCCACTCTCCATCCACCAGTCCGCCACCCGGTCCTTCCCCGTCGCCGCCCACTCTTTGTCCACTAGCGCCGCCCGCTGCTCCCGCTTCTCCCCCGTCTCTATCCACAACGCCGCATCCCTCTGCTCCACCAGAGCACGAGAAACACGACCCAAGGGGTGATCTTGGGGGGAGAGCATGAGGGCAGGGGGGCCGAGGGGGAGAGGGTCCCCCCTGTCAAATTGCCAGGTATTCCAGAATTTGCCGTACGTCTTTATGAGTTTCTTCAGCTCCTGCTGCTGCATGGTCTCTGGCACCCCCGGGTTCACCCACAGGCCGTCACAGATCTGCCTTGCAGACGAAGAGGGGGAGAGGGGTGGGAGGAGAGTGAACAAAGGGATGTCTTGACAAGTTTCTTCAGCTCCTGCTGTTGCATGGTCTCTGGCACCCCCGGGTTCACCCACAGGCCGTCACAGATCTGCAGGAGAGACAGGGAAGAGCGGCAAAGGAGAGTAAAAGAAAGAGGCCGGGATTCATCCACTGGCCGTCACAGGTATGTTCATGAGTTAGAAGCAAGAGCAGGGCAGCGGGAATGGAAACAGGCATGTGAGGGGATATGCAATGGAGGATCCATGACCAGTGAGAGGAAGAGGCATGCGAGGATGGCATGACATATGCAAGAAATTCTGTAACAGCGTGAAACCAGAACCAACCCAGGTTGGTGGTGCATGCAAACACAAGAGAAGAATCACACGCCATATTTAGCCATGGCTAAAGCATTAGCCAACTTTTGAGAAAAATCACAAGCATCAGCGATCAGCAATGATTTTCAGCCATGCATGCGTAAGTACTTTCCTCATAGTAGTGCGAGTGCCACAGGTGCTTCTCCTCCTCCTCCTCCAGTGCATGTTCCGAACATGCATGCACACCACATGCACACCACATGCATGCACACCACATGCACACCACATGCATGCTCACCTCATAGTAGTGCGAGTGCCACAGGTGCTTCTCCTCCTCCAGTGCATGTTCCGAACATGCATGCACACCACATGCATGCTCACCTCATAGTAGTGCGAGTGCCACAGGTGCTTCTCCTCCTCCGGAAGCTTCTTGAACACCGCCTCGGTTACGATGTACTCCACACCTGGAGGGTGATGGGTGATAGATGGGTTGGCGTGACACAAACAGAGGATTCAAGTTTTCCATGAGGAAAGAGGGGATAGGACAGGAGGGGAGGGGAGGGGAGGGGAGGGGAGGGGAGGGAAGGGGAGGGGAGGGGAGGGGAGAGCAGAGAGGTGAGGAGAGGAGAGGAGAGGAGAGAGGAGAGGAGAGGAGAGGAGAGGAGAGGAGAGACTACGCGAGGAAAAAGGGAAACTTTCAAATAACTGAACTTACCAACGATGCGAGCGTTGGGCTGGTCAGAGTCAAACACGATGCACTGAAGAACGTCCTCTGTGAGTCGCACCACGAGGTGGTGCGTCTCGATCATGCGCCCAGGGCTCTGCGCGTAGTGCGCCCACGTGCTCACGTGCTGGCAGAAGGACTTTAGTGGGCGGAAGGACTGCAGGAGAGAGGCAGTCGTCTCGAGGGCGGATGTTGCCATGGAAGGGGCCTCTCCCGGCACCTGATGGGAACAGTACAAGGGAGGGGACGGGCAGGGAGGGTAACACTGACTCTCACGTGCTCACGTGCTGAGGAAGGGGTTGTCTCACGTGCTCACGTGCTGGCAGAACGACTTGAGGAGGGAGGCAGTTGTCTCGAGGGCGGATGTTGCCATAGAAGGGGCCTCTCCAGGGACCTGGGGGAGGGAAAAAGGGAGGGGAAAAGATGGGAGTGGGGAGCAAGAAGCAGTGTGTGACGCCCACCCACTAAAGATTGGGCTCTGTGCGTACTGCGCCCACGCGCACAGGCGGTTGCCTTCGAGGGCGGATGTTTCCATGGAAGGGGCCTCTCCTGGCACCTGGGGAAGGCGGTGGGCGGGAGGGGCGTGGGGGCATGGGGTGCGGGGGGATGGGCGCGGGGAAGAGGATGACACAATCTGCGCCCACGTGCTCACGTGCTAGCAGAAGTGAGTGGGCGGAACGACAGCAGAAGAGAAGCTGTGTCGCGAGTGCAGATGTTGCCATAGAAGGGGCCTCGCCCGGCACCTGGGAGGGGGGAAAAGGAAGAATGGTAGAGAGAAAAGAGAGAGTGGCAAAGCGGGAATGGTCGTGGAGCAGTGAGTAGTCACGTGATGACAGGAATAGAGCGGCTGCAAGGACTATTTTTTGTACAATCGATTGTCAAAAGTTACAGCAGCGTGGGGGTGAACATGCGGGCGCGAGTCCCCATGGAAGGCGCGTCGCCCGGCAAGGGGGGATTGTATGCGGAGGGGGAAGGGCAAGGGGGGAGAGTGTTGGGGAGGGGGAAGGGCAAAGGGGGAGAGTGTTGGGGGGTGGGCGGGAGAACGGCTGGCGGAGAGGATGGGGAGTGAAAGGGGTGTGCAACGGGAGGGAGGAGATACTGCCGCGCCTACCTCTTCAGGGCGGGACGGGGAGGGCGACTTCTCGGGCGGGCGAGTGCTGGTCGCCATGCCGCCGTATGCTACTGCTGCTACTGCACTTGCACCTGCACGTGCTCTGTTCGGTGTCTGACTGACTGCTTAGCTCGCAGTACCAGATGAAATCACGAGGTGAAACAAATGCAACAACCACGTCACTGCGCTGGAATGCTAAACTTTGCCAAGGCTGAGAGATCTACTCAGCGCAGTGGGAGAATGTTTTTGGAAGGACAACCAAACACGCTTAGCGAGAGAGCCTGAGGACACTCGCAGGGGAATAAGAGGGCCAGCTTTTTGCGCGCTCATGGAGCCTGCGCGCGATTCTGCTGGAGGAATTTCCTGCGCCATCGATGCCTCCTCCTGCGAGTTCGCGCCGCATCTCATCATGCAGCCCCGATGCCTCCGACTCGCGTTTGATTTCCTCATTCGCGATGATTGGCGAATGGACGCGGCGCGATGTACCCGCCCGCGGTGCCGCATTTGACTGATGCGCATGAATTAGTGTCCTTTAGCAAACTTCGCGTGACTCGTCCTCGAATGCACGGGCCAGCTATGAGGGTGCCCGACTCGGTGACACGTGGTCCAGATTTTTAATTTCCGTACTCATTATATCGACCTCGGTAGAATACAAGCTGGACGTAAAAGCGCTGCTCAGGAACTAAAACAGATGTGAAATGTTTCTTCGAAGTTGTTATTCAAACCTCAGTATAGACTGGCAAGGTTCACATCCCTTGGAAATATTATGTCCACTCCACCACACCACAACACTACCCCACCCACCCACTTTTCATCAAGCCCGTTCGGCCGATCCATTAGTATAGCAGTTACCCAGATTCCTCTACTTCAAGGCTCCACTACACCTCCCCTCCCCATCCGGTCATCATCAGAATGACTCAGCCGACCCAGCAGTATACCAAGAGAGACTAAGCAGCAGCCTCCTGGCAGCTCTCATACAGATACAAATACTCCAGCCACGAGCACGACCCCAGCAGCTCACAAAACACCACTCCACTCCACTCCACTCCACTCCAATTCCCCACCCGGTAGGCACCAACTGCAGCCGCCCCATCCGCAACTCACGGCTCATTTATCCTCAAATCCCCTCAGCCGACCCAGCAGCGTAGCAAATCAGCGGTTTCCTCTTCTTCTTGGCAGCAGCCTTCCTGAGATCAGCCATGGTGAATTCATGCCCCTCCTGGCAGCTCTCATACAGATACACATACTCCAGCGACGAACACGACTCCAGCACCTCACAAAACACCACTCCACTCCACTCCACTCCATTTCCCCACCCAGTAGTCACCAACTGCAGCTGCAGCCGCAACTCACCACCCACTCGTCATCAGATCCCCTCAGCCGACCCAGCAGCGTAGCAAATCAGCGGTTTCCTCTTCTCCTTGGCAGCAGCCTTCCTGAGATCAGCCATGGTGAATTCATGCCCCTCCTGGCAGCTCTCATACAGATACACATACTCCAGCAACGAACACGACTCCAGCACCTCACAAAACACCACTCCACTCCACTCCACTCCACTCCACTCCATTTCCCCACCCAGTGGTCACCAACTGCAGCTGCAGCCGCAACTCACCACCCAGTCGTCATCAGATCCCCTCAGCCGACCCAGCAGCGTAGCAAATCAGCGGTTTCCTCTTCTCCTTGGCAGCAGCCTTCCTGAGATCAGCCATGGTGAATTCATGCCCCTCCTGGCAGCTCTCATACAGATACACATACTCCAGCCACGAACACGATCCCAGCAGCTCCAACAACGCTTCAAAATACCTATGCGCACACAGCCCGATCGAGAAAACTTTCAGCTTCGGGCAGCTGGAAAGGACTTTCACCAGGTCGGGCAGGTCGGCTCGGTCGTCTCGCTCGCAGAAGGGCAGGATGAGGGTTTCGAGGGAGGTCCAGTGGCGGGCGGCGGAGACGAGAGAGATGTATGTGAGGGAGTGGGCGAGGGCGAAGACGTTGAGATGGGTGAGGTTGGGGTTGAGTGCTGCTAGCGCCACCAGGCCTGCGTCTGTGATGTCTGCGTTGCAGCGGATGAGCAGCGAGCGCAGGGAGGGGCATGAACGGCCCACCTCCTCTAGCGTCTCATTAGTGGCCCACTAGGGGGAGGGAGAGAGGACGAGGGTGGGGTGGGGGGATGGGGGGGAACAGGGAGAGGTAGATGGTGGTAATGTGAGGCTGGATGAACGAGAGGGACGAGCGTCCCACCTTCAGGGCATTGAGAAGAAACCAGGGTACAGGTCACAAAGGGGTTGGGGCATCAGAGTCTTTGACAGAGCACCCTGGATGGTCCGGACAGATCGACCTCACATCTCTTCCCAAACCAGTCCCCTCCCCTTCCTTGCGTTTCACCTTATTCCCCCTCAGCGCACCTTGTTCATGACATGCATGGAGTCCCGGCACGCAGTAGCGACATCCCCAAGAACCCGCAGCTGCTTGCACTTCCCCGCTACCGCCTCCACCCCCACCCCCGTCGCATGCGGACCCACATACACCTTGGGTTGGGACGTCCCATAAGAGCATCTCACCTTGTTCATGACATGCATGGAGTCCCGGCACGCAGCAGTCACGTCCCCAAGAACCCGCAGCTGCTTGCACTTCCCCGCTACCGCCTCCACCCCCACCACCGTTGCATGCGGGCCCACATACACCTCCTCCACCACCGCACACCACCGCGCTACCTCCCTCAGCATCCCATCCGTTGCCCCCAGCAGCGGGGGACCAGACGCCCCCGGGGTTTCGATCTTGAGGTTGCCCAGGTCGAGGTAGGTGAGCAGGGGCAGCGAGGAGAAGGCTCGCTCGAGCAGGCGCGGGTTGCCCTTGACGGTTTGGGAGATGACCAGATGGCGCAGGGCGGAGCACTGGGCTAGCTCCTGGGTTAGCATCTGTGGGGGGGAGGTTGTGGGGGAAGAAAGGAGGAGAATGGGCGGAGCAGAGGTAAGGGTGGGAAAGGGAAGGGTGGGAAAGGGAAGGGTGTCGAAAGTGGGAAATGGGGAGTGTAGAGGGTGGGATAGATGGAATGGAGGTTGGGAAAGGTGGGAATGGAGTGGTGAAGTATGGAGCGATTGGGTGAGCTGAGAGAAAAGAGGAGAGAGAGATGAGAGACGCTGGGAATACGTATTGTGGAACAGGCAAAACCGCCTATAACCAAGGACCAAAACAACTTATGAGCCGACTCAAAAGGCACCTTTGTTGAACAGGCAAAACAGCCTATAACCAAGTACCAAAGCAGCAGACCTTTCACGGCGATGATCCCTTGGTTCACTTTGCGCTACCTTCTATTCCCTATTCCCTTTATTACCCGACTCCCTTACCCTTCCTGCCTCTCACCTTGATGGATATCTCCTTGGCGATATTCTCAATGTTGGTAACGTTACGTCCCCCCTCCAGGATCAGAGACTGCAGCGATGCCCCACACTTGTCAAAGAACCCAATCCGCATGAACTCAGCTCCAACCCCTCCTCTCCCACCCCCAACTCCCTCCCCTGCACCCGCCACCTCTCCTCCTCCCCCCCCTCCTCCCACCACCTCCTCTTCCTCCATCATATCCCACACCTTTGGCCCGCCCCCCCCTCCTGAGCGCCCTCTGCCTGACTTTGACCCCGCGCCACCATCCCGGGAAAATTTACTCGCGGGTTTTTCCGAGCCGGGAAACCCGGGGGTAGTTTCCCCGCCCGGGGTGATTACCCCGCCAGGAGTCACCATACCTGGAGTTGCAACAGCCGGGGTCGTAACACCTGGAGTGGAAACCGAAGCGCTGGCACTGAAACTCCCACTCTGCAAGTTAACAGCACCGCCACCACCACCGGCTCCCCCTCCCCCTCCCCCTCCCGCGCCCACAAACCCTCCACCGTACCCCATCCCCGTTTTAGGAAGCCCCTCTAGCAGGAAATGCGAGCCGACAAACTCGAGATTCTCCCAGGGCCGTTGATTCAGGATCCGTTTGAGATGCAGCAGCTCGAGCACGTGCAGTTCCCTGAAGTCATAGAGCCTATCGGCGGAGCAGGGGCGGCGGTAGAGAGAGCAGTTGAGGGAGAGCGAGGTGACGCGCGGGAAGAAGGCGAGGGGGAGCGACTCGAGGAAGCGCGACGGCTGGGAGAGGTCCAGGTGGGTCACTGCGCGGCGGGAACGCTTCTCCAGCCAGAACCAGCGCGGGGAGACCTGGGGGGGGCACCAATGGTGTGGTAAGGGAAGGAGGGAAGTGAGGGAAGGGGAGAGGAGGAGGAAGCGCGACGACTGAAAGAGGAGACAGAGAGAGACCTGGGAAGAAGTCATTTCTATTTATGACAGGGCCGGCAAGCGATTCATTGAAAAATGACCACGAAAAGGAAAAAAACCATTCCCAATGTCATAAAAAACTTGGTAATGACTCTTATGAAAATGACAATCTGTAGTTTTGAAGGGCATTACCAGCGCGCACGACGCTAGTTTTGAAGGGCATTACCAGCGCGCACACCGCTGGCTGCCCTTCAAAATGACAAAGGGCATTACCAGCGCGCACGACGCTCGGTCTTTGGGCGATTCCACGCGCATCAGAATCTTAAGCAGCACCGGATCCGGCACGTTATTCAGCGACGGCGGCGCGGCCGGCGCTGCGCCCGGCGTCGCCGCCGCAGCCGCCGCATTATCCGCGTCCCGAAACGACGACGTCCCGGGCCTTCCGGCCGTGCGCGCTCCGCCAATCCACTTCCGGCTCCGATTGGTCAGATTCTTCAAGAAATCGTCGTGGCTGGAAGATGCGGCCGACGGGGCGACCGGCGCGCCGTCGCTATGCGCGGCGACGGCGGCGGAGATCGCCCAGTCGTCCATGGGGACGAGCCGGCCCGACGCGGGGTGCAGGACGGCCGGCACGCTCCACCGCTTGGCGGCATTACGGAGAGTGCGCGCGCGCGGAGGCTCCTCCGCTTCCATGATGCGAGGGGAGCGAGAGGAGGGTTGCGGAATGCCGGCGGAACTTTGGCGGAAATTCTAGCGTTGAAGGACTCTGAGAGAAGGACCACAGAGATTTCGAAACGCGTGGTTTTCACCGTAATGGCAGACAATGTGAGCTGCCGTGCGCTCGACACCTAGTCTTCAGAGAACGAAAGAACTGACAACTATGTCCAGCAGCTGGGCTGACATTTATCACGCCTCCCCACAAGTAGCTTTCCCTGGCAAATTCGAGGCTCAGCGACCTCAAGGCTCGGTTGGTGACCAAGGCACTTGATCTGGCAAAGACTTGTTACCATTTTATCGCCATCGGGATTGCAGCAGCGACGAAGAGCTTTGCGAATAAAGCTGTTTCGTGACTGGATGAAGTTGAAAGATCTTGAACTACACGATGGATACTTGAACCAGTAGGAACACATTACCAGACTAAATAGAGTACAGCAAGCATTAACAGGTGCCACTTTTTCATCAATGCATGATTTCTACTAGTGCTTCCTTAGTGGCTCCTATAACGATGCAAGGACCACTTCACGCATCAACGACACAGGAGCTGCAAAGCACGCACACAGGGGGGTGGGGGGTATAACAGAAAAAGGGAGTGGGTACATCAACACAAGGGCGCAAACAAGATAACGCATGGCGTAAGCTTAAAACTTTAATATCCATACGTATGATGAAAGTACACCCACCTGGCTTTCCAGTGAAGAGCTCGAATTGTCGAGCCGCCTGGCCAACAAACATCTCGACGCCACTGACCGTTGCAGCTCCTGCCTGCTTCGCCTCTTTGAGCAGACGGGTTTCCATGGGGGTGTAGACTGCATCAAACACCAGACTGCACTCCTGCAACACAGCCTGCTTGGGAACACAAGAAAGATAAGGATACCGAAATGTGTTAGTGGAAGTGTGATCGTTGAGGCTCCTGCCTGCTTTGCATCCTTGATGAAGCGGGGTCTTCATGGGGGTGGGTGCCGCGTCAAACACCAGACTGCACTCCTGCAACACAGCCTGCTTGGGAACATGCAAAAGGGAAACATCGACATATGTTGTGGAAGTGTGACAATAAGAGAAGGGTGACAATAAGAGAAGGGTGACAATAAGAGAAGGGTGACAATAAGAGAAGTGTGACGATAAGAGAAATGTGACAATAAGAGAAGGGTGACAATTCTGTCATGCTGCCCATCCACCAGGAACAGACCTTGCTGATAGGTGCATCGTCCACGCGAGGGTGCAGTCCCACCGGAGTCGTATTCAACAACACAGCACGCCCACTCCTCCCCCTCTGCATCTCCTAATGTGGTTTGAGAATACTCGAACAAAACACAACTGCAGACACATATCTCTCACCTTGCTGACCGGAGTATCGTCCACATGAGGGTGCATGCCCACAGAGGTCGTATTTGCCAGCACAGCACGCCCACTCCTCCCTCTCTGCATCTCCTGCAACACCGCCGCCAGCTCATCGCCACCCGCTGCCACGTCACCAGAACCAGACGGCAGAGGCACGGCAGTGCCGCCCACAGCCGCAGCCAGCGCCTCCGCCTTGCCGTAGCTCCTATTTGTTACAATCACATCCGCACCCTTTGCTTTAGCACCGAAAGCCAGAGCCCTCCCGGCACCCCCCGCCCCCACAACCACAAAGAGTCGGCCGGCGAGGGGCGAGGAGGAAGCTTCCGCGTTGCTACTGCTGATGCTGCCTCCGTCTGCCTGCCTGAGCCCGTCCTCGATGGCCTCTATGGCCGCCATGCAGTCTGTGTTGTACCCCTTGAGCCGGCCGCCCTCCCCTTGAATGATGGTGTTGGCAGCGCCTATGCTCTGATGGGTAGACAGAGGGACGGAGATGGGAAGAGAAGGGGAGAGGAGACTGAGATGACAGGGGAAAAGGATTCTGTGTATCTGCTGCATCCGTCTGCCTGCCTGAGCCCGTCCTCGATGGCCTCTACGGCTGCCATGCAGTCTGTGTTGTACCCCTTCAGCCGCCCATCTTCTCCCCGAATGATGGTGTTGGCAGCACCTATGCTCTAATGGGGGGAGACCCGCATGCGAATTAGTGGTAGAGGAAGGGAGAGAGGTGGGAGCATACACTTGATGCCAACAATGGAACCGTGTCATGCATGACACACAACAAGGGTCGGAGACACATGGTAACATGCGTGTGAGGTGAGAGTACAGGGAGATATATGGCACACCACCAAACAAGGTCATCTACGCAAGCGCACAGCACATGAGCAAGGTCACTACTGCAAGGTCACTACTGCAAGGTCACTACAGCAAGGTCACTACTGCAAGGTCACTACTGCAAGGTCACTACTGCAAGGTCACTACAGCAGGGTCACCTTGGCAAGAGGTTCCACATCGTGGCAGCACTCCAACGCCGCGAGCTTGTGGGGAATGGTCACACTGGGAGAGACGGTGTGGGAAGGGGTGAGCGGTGAAGGGGGAGGGGAAGGGAGGCGAATGATGGGGGTTGGAAAGAGAAGGGGGGAGGGGAAGGGAGGCGAATGATGGGGGTTGGAAAGAGAAGGGGGGAGGGGAGAGGTTCCACATCGTAGCAGCACTCCAACGCCGCGAGCTTGTGCGGAATGGTCACACTGGGTGGTGGGGACGAGAAAGGGGCGGGGGGTGTTGTGGTGGGGGAGTGATAAGGGGGGGGTGAGTGTTGGGGAGGGGGGGGGGTGGGGGGGGAGAACGGGGAGGAGAAGAAGCGAGGGGGACAGCTAGTGGGGAACGCATACAGGGCACTGGTGGATGGAGAAAGCGGGACGAAGAAAAAAAAAGCAGACAACATAAAAGGCCCTAGTCCACTCCACCTCCACCTCCACCCACCTGAACCCCTTGAAATCGGGGCCGTCAAACGTCTTCAGAAACTCCGGAACATCGTCCACCAGGAATGGCACGTACACGCCGTCATACCCCACATGCCTTAACGCCGCATTGTGCAGCACAGGGCCCTTGCTGTGCGCCACCGGGTTCCCCACCAGCCCAAACACGTGCGTTGCCGGGCCCACGCCCGCCAGCCTGTACGTGCCCGCCAGCTCAGCGACCGTCGGCTGACCTGGCGCTGACTCAGCGCCAGGGGTGATCGCCCCGAAGGTGAGAAAGGCGTTGAATTTGGGCGCGAGGAGACGGCTGATGAGGCCCTTGGGACCCATCACCAATGCGATTGTGGGGCGCTGGGGGGGGGAAGGGAACGAGGGATGGAGGGTGGGGGAAGGGGGGCGGAGAGAGTGCAAAGCAGATGCCATTGCCTTTGGGCGCGAGGAGGCGGCTGATGAGGCCCTTGGGTCCCATTACCAGTACTATGGTGGGGCGCTGAGGGAGGAGAGGGGGGAGGGAACCGGGGGGGGAAGGGAGGAGGGGGGTTTGTGGGGGTTGGGGGAAGAGGGGAGTGTAAGGCAGGGCAGACGTCATTGAATTTCGGTGCGAGGAGACGGCTGATGTGGCCCTTGAGTCCCATTACCAGCGCTATGGTGGGGCGCTGGGGGGGTTAGAGGGGGAAGAGGGGAGAGGGGAAGGGCGTGAGCCTTGAGCAGGCGACTGGTGAGGCCCTTGGGTTCCCATTACCAGTGCTATGGTGGGGCGCTGGGGTGAATGGGGGGGGCAGGGATGAGGAATGGAGATTTGCGGAGAGGGTTAGGTAAGGCCGAGCTGACAATCCAGAGCAGGCGTCATCACATGGAGTCATCACATGGAGTCATCACATGGAGTCATCACATGGAGTCATCACATGGAGTCATCACATGGAGTCATCACATGGAGTCATCACATGGAGTCATCACAAGGAGTCATCACATGGAGTCATCACATGGAGTCATCACATGGAGTCATCACATAGAGTCATCACAAGGAGTCATCACATGGAGTCATCACATGGAGTCATCACAAGGAGTCATCACAAGGAGTCATCACATGGAGTCTTCACATGGAGTCATCACATGGAGTCATCACAAGGAGTCATCACATGGAGTCATCACATGGAGTCATCACATGGAGTCATCACATGGAGTCATCACATGGAGTCATCACATGGAGTCATCACATGGAGTCATCACATGGAGTCATCACAAGGAGTCATCACAAGGAGTCATCACATGGAGTCATCACATGGAGTCATCACATGGAGTCATCACATGGAGTCATCACAAGGAGTCATCACATGGAGTCATCACATGGAGTCATCACAAGGAGTCATCACAAGGAGTCATCACATGGAGTCATCACATGGAGTCATCACATGGAGTCATCACAAGGAGTCATCACATGGAGTCATCACATGGAGTCATCACATGGAGTCATCACAAGGAGTCATCACATGGAGTCATCACATTTGGGTGCGAGGAGGCGCCTGATGAGGCCCTTGGGTCCCATCACCGGTGCTATGGTGGGGCGCTGGGGAGGGGCTTGGAGAGCGAGGGAGACGGGGGGGAAGGAGGGGAAGGGAAGAAGGAATGGGGAGTGGGGGGAGGGGAGTAAGGCAGAGAATGCAGAGCAGGCATCATCATAATTTCGGCGCAAAGAGGCGGTTGATGAGGCACTCAGGACCCATGACCAGAGCTGTGGTGGGGCACTGGGGCGCTGCGCTGGGGGGGGAGACGAGTACCCACCCACCCACCCACCCAGCAACCCGCCCACCTGCGCCTCCTTGAGTATCTGGAACACGCGTGCATTGTCAGTGATATCAGTGGCTGTGGTGGCGAACTTGACCACGTCAGCGCCAGTCAGGGTTTCACCACCTCAAACATCACCTAAAACCAGCACCCACCCATGCACCCACCTGCGCCTCCTTGAGTATCTGGAACACGCGTGCATTGTCAGTGATATCAGTGGCCGTGGTGGCGAACTTGACAATGTCTGCCCCAGCAGCCTCTATGCGCGCCACCAGCGCCCGCAGCTCCTCCAATGGCGGGGTCACGCTGTAGTTGTGGCTCGATACAATCACACGCGTTGCAGTCACACCGTCACCAGCGGCAGCAGCAGCGGCGGCGGCGCGGCGGGGTGCAACGTGCTTCTGGATGAACTCGGAGGCGACCTGCGGAGGAGGGGAGGGCAGATGGGAAGGTTTGGGGTGCAAGGCGAGAGAGAGAGAGAATCGTGAGGCTCAGGGGAAGGAGGCTCGAGAGTCTAAGATGAGCTCTAACGAGTCAAGCTCTTCAATTGTTACCATTGCTAGCCACCACCCCGCCGCTGCACCCTGTACGCGTTATGGTTACCTGCAGCTCAGCGTCAATGAACTCAGCGCCCATGTTCATGTCCACGGCCATCACCTGATGCTACACCCTGTACGCGTTATAGCTACCTACCTGCAGCTCGACGTCAATGAACTCGGCGCCCATGTCCACAGCCATCACCTTATGCTACACCCTGTACGCGTTATAGCTACCTACCTGCAGCTCGACGTCAATGAACTCGGCGCCCATGTCCACGGCCATCGCCAGCACCTGCTGCCGCTGCATAAGGTGTTACCCTTTGCGGACATGCCCACTCCCTGTACGCGTTACCTGCAGTTCGACGTCAATGAACTCAGCTCCCATCTCCATGGCCATCGCCAGCACCTGCTGCCGCCTCTCCTCGTCCGGGTCGGCGTACTTGCCGCCCTCCCACGTGGGGCTGCACGGGGTGATAGGGACGTTGCATGGTAATTATCCTAGGGGTAAGAGGTATGGAAACTGTTCTCGCCTCGTCCGGGTCGGCATACTTGCCGCCCTCCCACGTGGGGCTGCACGGGGTGATAGGGACGTTGCATGGTAATTATCCTAGGGGTAAGAGGTATGGAAACTGTTCTCTCCTCGTCTGGGTCGGCGTACTTGCCGCCCTCTCCCACGTGGGCTGCATGGGGGGTTAGGGATGTTGGGCGTGGGGCTAAAAGGTTGGGATTGGAAAGAAAGGTTGGGCTTGGGGAAAGGAACAGTATGAGTGGTAGGACCAGTAGCAGCGCGCTGACAGCATTCTAGTGACAGCATGCCAGCAGCAGGATAAAGGAACAAGTTTCGAGGCGCCTCAGAGGAGGAACGGTATGAGTGGTAGGACGACTAGCAACGTGCTGTTAGCAACATTCTAGTGACAGGATGGCAGCACTTTAGCAGGATAAGGGAGCATACCGGCATGTGACAATAACGGGCAGGCAGCGGCCGTTTAGGAGCGCAGGGAGGTCAACGCTCGGGTCAAACTCGGTCAAATGGTCAACGCGGAGCTCCGCCGTGTCCGCTCCCGCCGCCTTGGCCTGCGCCATCTGCTCCCGCATTCCACCCACCGTCGTCGCCGTCACCGCCGCGCAGATCCTGCACCCGCTGCGCGAATCGACGCCGCCAGCGGACGCGTTGACGTCAGTCGCCGGAGCTGCCGCGTCAGCCATGGTTTCTGTTGACGTGGCCGAGTCGACGACCGTGGATGCTCGACACGCGGGGGATCGCTGAGGAGTAACGGTAGCGCGGACGGCAATTAAAGGTAGCAAGGCGGCGCGGGATGCGGAAGAAAGGGAGGGCTTTGCGGCGTTGGTGGGAGACACTATGGGTGCCGCGAGCGAGGGGAGTAGGGCTGTGCTGAGACGAAACGCAACAGCCATTGGGAAAAGAGGAATAATGACCCCTGAAATTCCTAACGATATACTGTTGCTGCCCGTGTGGTTACTCGCTTGCCGCTGCTTGCTGCGTGCTTGCCAGCAACTTGCTGTAACCCTAACCTAGAACGCCAGCAAAAGCAGGCAGGAGAAGAGATGCAAGTTGCAGTGAATGGAGGAAGAGAAAGAACAGAAAGGCAGACAAATGAGGCAAGTGCGGTGTAAAAGAAAAGCCAAAAAATACAAGAAAATGCGTCGCACGCAGCGCAAGAGACGTATGTCGCACGCGTTTCTCCTCATCGCACACGAGCTTGTTACACAGGGGTGGCCCCTTCGCATGCCATTGCGGAAGTGCCAAACGACATGACCCGGTGCATGCTTTCTTGGGGCTAGTGGAGTGGTTTCATGCTTCACCGCTCTAAAGCTCAATTAACCTAGTTTGACCGTAGAAGCTGTATCCACGTCCATAGATGGTATGGCGAAACATGCTATCACAGAAATTGGTAACAGATCGGCTGGACACCCGAGAGATGAAGCACCAAGAATCGCGTTTCGTTTTTTTTTTCAGGGAGTGAACGGCTACGATGGACCGAGTTCTTTTGATTCCCAAATTGTGAGCCGTTCTTGCTATCGCAAAGAGAGTTCGCAGATCGTTGCGACAGCACTCGCCTGTCAACGTTTGTTTCCATTTGATTTGACTTCAGAGTTTCTCCATCATCCAGCTATTTTCCGTTCTCCAGAATTGATCGGCTTGCACCCCACTCGCGATCACGCTCCATCCCAATGGCGTCTCTCGTCGGCTACGACTACGATTCGGACGACTCCGATCAGGGAGAGCGCGGCGCGCAGGAACCAGCGGAAGGACCGGCGCAGGCCAGCGCGCCGCAGCGTGCCGAACCAGAGGGCTCTTGTGCCGCTGAACTAGAAAGTTCCGCAAAAGCTTCCATAGCCCATTCAGACTCTAGCCAGCTCTCATCTCCTGGCAATTCAGCACCTTCTAAGGCATCAGGGCAGGGGAAAGCTTCGTCGCAACGCGTTGTCAAGCCTTCGTTGGGAATGTCCTCCAAGTCACCGATCCAGCACCTGCCAGCCAATCAACCGTCCCGTGTGATTTTACCGAGCGCTGCGAATCTCTTAGGGGATTCTGCCGATAGTCTCAGCTTCGCTATTGGAACAGCCGGGAGAGGGGGTCCGAGTGGGAGGTTGCAAGGACCAACAGAAAGTACAATCGAAGGTTCCAGAAAGCGTGCTGATCCCAACCCTAACATGCTTCTTCCCAAGCCTCCGTCAAAGGCTCTGAAGGGAGGCTCGGGAGCAGGTCTGGCAGCTTCAGGAAGTGGTTCTGTAAGAGGAGGAATAGGCAGAGCAGCAGCAGGAGCAGGGGGAAGAGCAGGAGGATTAGGCGCAGCGGCAGTTGCTGTGAATTCGTTTTTACCACCCCAACTCCGAGGCCGGTTAGTGCCTCTCAGTGGAATTGTCGATCCTCCACTTGTGTTTCTCTCCAACTCGTTCCTGGCTTGATCACACTTGCACTACCTATTTTTTATCTTGTCTTCGGCCTTTGCGTGACACATGTCCGCAGATTTTTTTTTCCTCATACTTTTATGAGGATTGCGCTGTGCATCGCAAGCCTCCCCTCCCATGCATCACACTCCTTCCTATCAAATGCATCACACTCCTCCCTATCCAATGCATCACACACTCCTCCCCTCTTAATGCCCTCATCTCCTGCCACCATCACTCCCTTGTGCGTCCGTCAGCTCCAATGTGGCAACTGAGGACCTAGATCGCATTTTCTCCAAAACGGGGAAGCAGAAACCTTAGCTGTTACACACAAGGAGCAGCTTCGTATTCATCTGGCCCGCACCACTTGATTGGGCTTTGTACCTGTGAAATGGCAAATTCTGTACACAAACATTGTGTTTTGAGTCGAGGGTTGTATGCATGCAAAATTCAAAAGCAGGATTTTCCATGGGTAGGCGCTGGGTATTAGATGTTTGCATTGGTTCAGTAACCTTGACATTCTTGTGGTATTAGATGTTTGCATCAGGTGGAACTAATTACTGTAATTTGAAACACTTGGAACCGCGTAACACTCGTCGCATCACCCTTCGCTGATTTTCCACCCACAACCACACAATTGTGGTCATCAGCTTTCTGGTCAAACCCTTCACGATTGTGCAGCTGTCGCTGCTTCTTCCCTCTCTTTCCTTATCCCAGTTTGCTCCTTGGTTTCCGCATATTGATCTCTCTAATCAGCGTCTAGACCCGAGAACGCGCATCGCGGACAGCTGATCAGAGAATCGTCAAAGTTTCTTTTCGCGTTTTTTTCACGGCCGGCGGAAACCACACGAAATGTACTCTCAAGGGTAATATATTGCCGTCCTTCTATATGTATTGCTGTTTATTGATCCGCGGACTTATCTTTTTTTTTCTGCCTACTCATGCCCTACCGCCTTTTGACATTCAATAATGCTCCGGGATTTCCCCTTTCCCGGACTCGGTTATTTTTGGGGGCCGGGTTGGGGGTTAAGGTGGAGGGATGGGTGGACCAGGGGAACAAGGGCAACGGGGAAATGGAAGGGAAGGGTCTTTTTTTTTGTCATATCCGCGTCTCGGTTGGAGCGTTTGTCAAGGGTTCGCACATCGCAACTTGATATTACCCACTTAATATAAATCGGACATCGCTCTCTTTCGTGTATCGCCCACTCCGTTGTCCTCTGGATTTCTCTGTCCGTCCATCTGTCATCACCTTGAGTGTTTAGACTGGTCAAATTTAGGGCAAATGTGTCTCATCTAGACTCGCATTGGATGAACTGATTATGGGGGTTTGGGTTGGGCAAGCAGGTTCGGCAATATGCCAGGAGGTGTGGGTGGTGGTGCGGGAGGCATGACCGGCTACGGGGGAGGTTTGGGTGGTGCCGCGGCTCCGGGAGGTGGTGGTGGTGGTTCGGGCGGTTTCGGTCCGGGTGGTGCTGGTGCGGGTGCTCCTGGGGGCGGTGCGGCTGGAGCGGGTGGTCCTCCGGGCGTTGGTGGCGTGGGTTCGATTCCCGCCGGCGGTGCTGGCGCGGGTTCGGGTTTCCCTGCGGGTGCAGCACCCCCGGGCGCGCAGGGCATGGGCGGAATGGGCGCAGCGGACGCGGCCGCGCTCGCCAATATGAACCTCATGATGATGGCGGGGATGGGTGGCATGGGGGGGATGGGCGGAATGGGCGCAATGGGCGGGATGGGGGGGATGCAAGGAATGGCGGGGATGGGGGGCATGCCGGGAATGGGGGGAATGGCGGGGATGGGGGGAATGGGCGGGATGGGGGGCCCGGGGGGGGCGATGATGGGCGCGGGCGGGATGGGGATGATGGGCGGGGGTCCGGGGGCGGGGATGGGGGGGGGCGCGGGGATGATGGGCGGGCGCGCAGGTGCGCGGCAGATCCCGGTGGTGAAGCTGCGCGGGCTGCCGTTCCGCGTGGAGGAGGGGGACGTGGCGGACTTCTTTGCGGGGCTCGAGATCGTGGACGTTCTATTCGTGCGCAAGGAGCATCGCCTCGTGGGGGAAGCGTTTGTGCTCTTCGCCTCCACTCTCCACTCCGAGCTTGCACTACAGGTGGGTGGGCGCGAGGTGGGCGCGGGATGGGCGCGGGGGATGGACGCGGGATGGGGGCAGGTGGGATGGGGGCAGGTGGGATGGGGGCAGGTGGGATGGGGAAGGTACATGGAGGTGTTGTGTTCCGCGCCAACAAGGACCCATCGCCCCTCCCCCCCTTTGCGTCCCTCCCTGTCTTTCTTCCCTCCCCGCGCCTCCCCCACACTTGAACCAACAAGGACCTAGCTTTCCCCCTTCCACCCGTACCCTCCGCCCTTGTTCCCCCCTACCCCTCCCCTTCCCCCCCCACCCCCAGCGCAACAAGATGCACTTGGGGCGGCGGTACATCGAGGTGTTCCGCACCAACATGGAACCAATCCCCCTTTCCCCCTTGCGTTCCCACTGTCCTTCCCCCCCACTTTCCCATCCCCTCCACCTCCCCCCCTCCCCATTCTCCAGCGCAACAAGATGCACATGGGGCGGCGGCACATTGAGGTGTTTCGCACCAACAGGGAACCAATCTCCTTTTCTCCCTTTCCCCCTTTGTGTCCCCCCTGTCCTCTCTCCCCCCCACCCCTCTTCCTCGGCAGCGCAACAAGATGCACATGGGGCGGCGGTACATCGAGGTGTTCCGCGCCAAGAAGGCGGAGTTTTACAACGCCATCGCCAACGAGGTGGCGCAGGACGGGGGGACCTACCACGGCGGGGGCCAAGGTAGGTGGCGTGGGGGAGGGCAAGGTGGGTGGGATGTGGTGGGTGGGCCATGGGGGTGGATGGGCCATGGGGGTGGATGGGCCATGGGGGTGGATGGGCCATGGGGGTGGATGGGCCATGGGGGTGGATGGGCCATGGGGGTGGATGGGCCATGGGGGTGGATGGGCCATGGGGGAGGATGGGTTCTCAGTCACGTTTATGCCGCAACATCACAGCCAACCTTTTCTCCATCCCTTACCCTCATCCCTACCTCCCCCCCCCCCCTCTTTCCGCCCCCACACTCCCCACCCCCACCCCTTCGTGCTCTCCCTTCTCCCCCTTCTGGTTTTTTCTGTTCACTCACTCACTCGCGTTTACGCTGCTGTATTGCCTTGTCACAGCCAACCTTCTCTGCTTACCTTACCCCTCTCCCCCCCTCTCCCCCCCCCCCCCCCCCCCCCCCGGCTGTGCTCTCCCTTCTCCCCCTTCTGGTTTTTCCTATTCACACAATCACTCGCGTTTATGCTGCTGTTTTGCCTTAAAAGCAGAGTGCCGCAACGTCATAGCCAACTTTTCTTTTCTTCCCCCGCCATCCTTCTTTTCCCCCTCCCCGTGCTCTCCCTACTCCCCATTACACCTTTCTTGCTTATTCTGCAGAAGATAGAGGGGGGCGGGGGGAGCGGGGGTATGGGGGCGAGGGCATGGGCGGGCATGCACATGCGGCCTATGGGGGAGGCGGAGGGGGAGGGGGAGGGGGAGGGCGCGGGGCCGAGGGAGGAATAGGCCCTGCAGCGCGGGAGTCGAGTATTGTGAAGATGAGGGGTTTGCCGTTCTCCGCCACTAGTAAGGTGAGACCACGTAACTTTGTGGGGTGCAGTGCAGCGCAGTGGGGTGCGGTGGGGTGGAGTGGGGTGCGGTGGGTTGCAGTGGAAGGGCGCAGTGCAAATCATCACCAATGCCATCCTTCTCTTCCCATGCCCCATACCCATGCTCCATGCTCCATTCCCCATGTCCCATGTCCTGTGCCCCATACCCATGCTCCAGGCCTCATGCGCCATGCCTCATGCCCCATGCCCCATTCCCCATGCCCGTGTCCCTCCCCTTGCTGCCCCCATGTTCTTCCGAGATTACCCCCATACGCAGCAATGCACAGCATCACCAACTCCATCCTTCTTTCTCATGCCCTGTGCCCCGTGCCCCATGCCCCATGTGCTGTCCTCCCCTCTATCTCATCAGGACGTTCTCGAGTTCTCCGGCGAGTACCCTCTGGCAGGTGCAGCAGTGCACATCATCACCAACAGCATCCTTTTCCCCTGCTCCATGCCCCATCCTTCCCCATACTCCTCCCTCCCACCTACAGGACATTCTCGAATTCTTTGGCGAGTACCCTCTGGCAGACGCAGCAGTGCATATCATCACCAACAGCATCGGCCGTCTCACAGGGGAGGCCTTCGTGGAGTTTGGCTCCACAGACGAGGCGAGGGCGGCGCTGGGCAAGGACCGGGAGCGCATGGGCACGAGATACATCGAGCTTTATTTGTCGTCGCGGGATGAAGCGACAAGGATAGCCACGCGGGCGAGCACTCAGAGATGAGGGGGAAAGGAGGGAGGATGGGAAGGGTAGTGGGACAACGGGGGTGTTGCGAGGTACAGGCTGCTCTGAGCAAGCACCGTTAGTGCATGGGCACAAGATTCATAGAGTTGTATGTCTATTCAAGGAATGAAGCGACATGGATTGCCACTAGGGTTAGCACTAGAGATGTAAATATAAGGACAGCACTAGGGTTGAAGCATGCTAGTAGGGCTAGTATTAGGGACTTGCGGCAAAAATTGTCACTAGGGTCAGCACTAGGAATGAAGTTTAAGGGACAGGACCCAACAGGGGGTAAGGAGCTGGCGGTGGGGAGGGGGATTATTTTTCCCTGTTCTGCTACCATTCTCTGCTGTTAGTGTGTCTGGCGTTTTTCCCTGCTGTTGGTGTGTGGCGTGCCACTATTTTCTGCTGTTTGTGTGTGACCTGCCACTATTCCTGCTGTTAGTGTTGGCCTGCCACTGTTTTCTGCTGTCAGTGTATGGCCTACCACTATTTCCTGTTAGTGTACGACCTGCCACTATTTCCTGCTGTCAGTGTTTAGCCTGCCACTATTCCCTGCTGCTAGTGTATGGCCTGCCACGATTTTCTGCTGTTACATGTGTTTCTGCCATATCCCCTGCTGTTAGCGTGTCTCCGCCACCGTTCCCTGCTGTTAGTGTGTCCCTGCCTCTGTCCCCTGCTGTAAATGTGTCTGTGCCTACATTTCCTGCTATTAGTGTGTTCATGCCATCATTCCCTACAGTCAGTGTGTCCATGCTACCATTCCCTGCTGTTAACATGTCCGTGTCACTATTTCCTGCTGTCAGTGTGACCCTGCCATTGTTCCCTGCTGTTTGTGTGTCCCTGCCTCCATTCCCTGCTGTCAGTGTGTCGCTGTCTCCATTCCCTGCTGTTAATGTGTTCCTGCCTCCATTCTCTGCTGTTAATGTGTCCCTGCCACCCTTCCCTGCTGTTAGTGTGTCCCCACCATCATTCCCTGCATTTGATAGGTTCCTGACTTGCCAGCCCAACCACTCCTGGTTCTTGTGCCTAGCAGACCCCCTGCACCACCCCATTCCCTGTTGCTTACCTTGCCCCATACCATACCTCCCACCTTGCCCACTTATATACCTCAAACCATACCACGACATTGTTCCTACCCTACTACAAGTCCTAGGCATCGTGGCCTCGCGAGAAATTTGGCGTCACAGAATGAACTAGCTACTGCTATGTCTAATCTTGTCACAGTGACTAAGATTGCTACAAATGTAGCACCCTTGGTCACGCTTCGTCCATCTTCCCTTCCCTCTCTGTAGCTGCTCACATAAAAAACATCAGGTGACATGCAAGGGAATGAACTGAGAATGGATAATTGTTGGTCCAAAATGACGATACACAAAAAGAGTGTTCCTGCATGGCAAAGAGTGCAATGACGTGAATGAACAAAGAAGGAATGACAACAGCAATGAGCAGCAAAATGCAGAGTGCGAGGGCCTCTGAGCACTTGTGAGCAGGGGAGTAGGAGAGAAGGAAATTTACACGCTTACCAAAAGGACAAAGAACCATCTTCCTTGACTGTGTTTGTGCTGCTCTTCCAAGGATCTGTGCCAGCCTGTGCAGACCTGGGAAACAGGGTGGGAGGGAGACGCATGGGTGGGAGTGAGGAGAATTGGTGGGAGCGAGGAGCATCGGCGGGAGTGAGGAGCATCCGTGGGAGGGAGAAGCATGGGTGGGAGTAAGGAGCATGGGTGGGAGTAAGGAGCATGGGTGTGAGTAAGGAGCAAGGGTGGGAGGAAGAAGCATGGGTGGGAGTAAGGAGCAAGGGTGGGAGGAAGAAGCATGGGTGGGAGTAAGGAGCATTGGTGGGAGTAAGGAGCATGGGAGGGAGTGAGGAGCACGGGTGGGTGTAGAGAGGCATGACCCATGAGCGCTGGTAGAGATGTGGGTCCAGCCCAGCCCAGCCCCTGCGACGGCAACAGGCCCACCCACCACCACCACACGTCTTCACTGGCACTGCATCGCCGCTGCTCCCCCACAAACAATGAGCCATCCAAAGAAGGGCCTGGATCAGAGGAGAAGGTCGACTCACAGAAAGGAGAAGCGTCGACTCACAGGAACGAGAAGCATCGACTCACTCAAAGGAAAAGCATTGACTTACTGAAACATGAGGGCGTTGGCTCATTGGAAGGACAAGAGCTGACCCACTGGAAGGAGAGAGAGCTGAATAACAGGAAGGCGAGGGCGATGGGTGACTGGAAGGTCAGGAGATTGACTTACAGGTGAAAAACGGAAAGGTGAGTCACTTGAGAAGCCACGTAGCTAGCAGTTCAAGTGCCACCCACAGATGCTGTCCCGTACTCCCTCCCTCCCCTCCCGCACTAGCGCTCGCTCTGCATCCGCCCCTGCTGGAGCAACTGGTGTTGCCAGTGTGCCACTCAGCTTCCTCTGCTGCATCATGAGTGGCCTGAGGGGAACGGGCAGGGCGGAGGGAATGGAGCAGAGTGGAGGGGAAAGGGGGCAGGGCGGAGGGAATGGAGCAGAGTGGAGGGGAACGGGGGCAGGGCGGAGGGAATGGAGCAGAGTGGAGGGGAACGGGGGCAGGGCGAAGGGAATGGGGCAGGGCGGAGGGAATGAGGCGGGGGGGAGGGAAGGGGGCAGAGTGGAGGGAATGAGGCACAGCGGAAGGAATGGGACAGGGCGGAGGGAATGGGGCAGGGCAAAACGGAATGGGGCAGTGCGGAGGGAATGGGGCAGGGCGGAGGGAAGGGCAGAAGGCGAGTGAGTGCAGGCCATAAGACAGGCACGAGATATGTAAGAACATTAGCAAGAAAGACTTAACACAGAATGGAGGAAACTGAGGGGTGGGGGGGAGGAGGGAGGGACGGGGGGAAGGAGGCACACAGCAAAAACTGAAACCAGAGAGAAGGATGGGAAGTGGGAGGGGTGGAACTGAACTCGAAGCAAATGAACACATGACAGCAAGGCATGGGAGGGGTGGAGAACGGTGTTTTCGATGTAGAACTGGAAAAAGTGGCACACCTCGATAGGTCACGGCCAGCCCCATACTCTCCCTGGTACAAGCGCTGCCTCCCTGCAGTGGAAGGTCCTTCTGCAGTGGAAGGTCCTTCTGCAGTGGAAGGTCCCTCTGCAGTGGAAGGTCCCTCTGCAGTGGAAGGTCCCTCTGCAGTGGAAGGTCCCTCTGCAGTGGAAGGTCCCTCTGCAGTGGAAGGTCCCTCTGCAGTGGAAGGTCCCTCTGCAGTGGAAGGTCCCTCTGCAGTAGAAGGTCCCTCTGCAGTGGAAGGTCCCTCTGCAGTGGAAGGTCCCTCTGCAGTGGAAGGTCCCTCTGCAGTGGAAGGTCCCTCTGCAGTGGAAGGTCCCTCTGCAGTGGAAGGTCCCTCTGCAGTGGAAGGTCCCTCTGCAGTGGAAGGTCCCTCTGCAGTGGAAGGTCCCTCTGCAGTGGAAGGTCCCTCTGCAGTGGAAGGTCCCTCTGCAGTGGAAGGTCCCTCTGCAGTGGAAGGTCCCTCTGCAGTGGAAGGTCCCTCTGCAGTGGAGGGTCCCTCTGCAGTGGAAGGTCCCTCTGCAGTGGAAGGTCCCTCTGCTGTGGAAGGTCCCTCTGCTGTGGAAGGTCCCTCTGCAGTGGAAGGTCCCTCTGCAGTGGAAGGTCCCTCTGCTGTGGAAGGTCCCTCTGCTGTGGAAGGTCCCTCTGCTGTGGAAGGTCCCTCTGCTGTGGAAGGTCCCTCTGCTGTGGAAGGTCCCTCTGCTGTTCCACAAGCTCTCCAGATGGCGGGCAAAGCGAGCTCTCTGCTGCCCACTACACTCTCGGTTGCTGCTGCTGCTGCTCCTTCTGCTGCCACAGTGAGTGGGATGCAAGGAACAATTGGGGGAGGAAGGAAATGTGGAGATAGACAGACAAGTGAGAGTGAAGCTGAGGAGTGAATGGCATGCAGAGCATTGAAGGAGTGAGGCGAAGAGGATAAGAGGGGTAAATGACGGAAGTCTTCTCCCTCGACGCTGCTCCCTCTTGTCTGCTCTCTGTGCATAATCCGGAGCTTCTGAACATCTGAGACAGTGGCAGATCAACAACTCATACTGAGTTGAAGTGGCAAGAGAGCAGAATGCGAGTACAGGAACAGAGGGACGATGAAATAAAAGGGCGATGGAGACGATGGAATGAAAGGGCAAGGGAGATCTTACCAGGTCTGCTGAAGCAACCTCTTGTCCTCCTGTGTTTCCTCTCCTCCTCTACTTCCTCTTCTCCTCCTCTGCTTCCTCTCCTCCTCCTCTGATTCCTCTCCTCCTCCTCCTCCTCTAATTCCTCCTCTCCTCCTCTGCTTCCTCTCCTTTCCCTCCACGTGGATTGTCCTCTGCTCCTCTGCTCCGCTGTTCTCTGTTCTTCATGCTAAAACAATCGTAGAGCTACAACTTACGAGTAAAGTGACACATATCACAGCCTACAGCCTACAGCCTACAGCAAACAGCCAACAGTCAACAGCCAACAGCCTACAAGAGTTACAGCAGATCAAGCTTATCTTGACAACTCACAAAGTTAACCTTTCTTCATTCTTTCCAGTCTGCTAATTTTCGTTGCTTGCTTGTTCATTATCCCTTTCTCCATAGATCAGGGTTAGTTGCTGCCCTATAGTCAGAGTGGGGTTAGCGTACCTGTAGTTAGGCGCTGCGCTGTAGTCAGAGTGGGGTTAGCGTACCTGTAGTTAGGCGCTGCCCTGTAGTCAGAGTGGGGTTAGCGTACCTGTAGTTAGGCGCTGCGCTGTAGTCAGAGTGGGGTTAGCGTACCTGTAGTTAGGCGCTGCCCTGTAGTCAGAGTGGGGTTAGCGTACCTGTAGTTAGGCGCTGCCCTATAGTCAGAGTGGGGTTAGCGTACCTGTAGTTAGGCGCTGCCCTGTAGTCAGAGTGGGGTTAGCGTACCTGTAGTTAGGCGCTGCCCTGTAGTCAGAGTGGGGTTAGCGTACCTGTAGTTAGGCGCTGCCCTGTAGTCAGAGTGGGGTTAGCGTACCTGTAGTTAGGCGCTGCCCTGCAGTCAGATAAAAGGCTTCTCACCAGAGCAGCGAGTCATCACACTCACCAGTGGCACACGCTGCGCCATCAGCAATCGCACCCCTCCACCCGAATTGAGTTCACGCTGCTGAACAGAGATGGGTAGAGAGAGGGGGGGTGGGTAGAGGGAGGATGGGTGGAGGGAGCAGGTGGTGGAGGTGAAACAGGCAGGGAGAGGAAATGAGAGAGTAAATGACAACAGGACAACAGGAGTATTGAAGCTATACATGAATGCATGATAACGATGAATGCATGAATGTGAAACGAGTGCTGATGCTGGATGTCAAACCAGGCTGGATGGCCCACAGCTGTGTCGAGTTTCGCTTTTGAAGCGAAACCAGGGCATGGGCTGGCGAGAGGGAGAAAAAAGGATACGGGATGCAGGAAACTGGTCCAGGGATGAAATATAGCAGTGAAAGATAATATTAACAAGTGACAAATGAAGCAAAGGCAGGCAAAACAGAAGTGAAACCAAGGAGGAAGGATGCAATGGAAACAGGCGATGGTAGCCCATGGCACTAGGTTGGCGAGCTAGCAGGCAAGTGGGACGAGACGCGCGCGAGTGTGAGTGCAATCTAACCCTCTAGGACTCTAGAGTGAGCTCAAGCCGCCCCAGTGCCATGTGCTATCATCGCCACGCGAACTTCTTAATACCTTCATATGAAGGCAGCGTTTTGGTTCGAAGCATGCTTGAAAAGAGAGCTGGGCAATTGTGAACACGAATTACAAGGTAAAGCGGCGGTAAGGATGGCAAGGGTTGAGGAGGGAACTTAGCGGGATTCAGAAGCTGCTCGTCGCTTTGATGATGTCAGCAGCAACACTCCCAGCAGCAGCACTCCCAGCAGCAGCCCTCCCAGAAGCAGCACTCAAGGTCGCTGGGTGCGTGAGGGAGTGGCGTGGTCAGCAGGGCAAGCAGGAGGCACGCACGCCGCTGTGACTGCCTGCCGTGCGTCATCCCACCGCCCTCCCTCCCCGCACCACGCTGCCACAGCCCTGTGCGAGAGGGAAGGGAGCGAGTGGGAGGGAGGAGGGAAGGCAGAAGGGGACATGATTGTATGATTGTAAAGGAGCAGTGGTAGAAGGAGGAAAACAAAACTGAGGGATAATAAAGTGAACGCTGGAAGATAGAAACGTCAGTGAAAGAGGAGGCGATGGTAGCCCATGGCACTAGGTTGGCGAGCTAGCAGGCAACGAGGACGAGACGCGGGCGTGAGTGTGAGTGCCTTCTATTCTAGCCCCCCTAGGACTCTAGTGTGAGCTCAAGCCGCCCCAGAGCCATGTGCTACCATCGCCATGCGAACGTTTTTAATACCTTCATGCGAAGGCGGCGTTTTGGTTCGAAGCATGCTTGAAAAGAGAGCTGGGCAATTGTGAGCACGAATTACAAGGTAAAGTGGCGGTAAGGATGGCAAGGGTTGAGGAGGGAACTTAGCGGGATTCAGAAGCTGCTCGTCGCTTTGCTTATGTCAGCAGCAACACTCCCAGCAACAGCACTCAACGTCCCTGGGCACGTGAGGGAGTGGCGTGGTCAGCAGGGCATGTAGGAGGCAGCAGTGGTCAGCAGGGCGCCCTCCCAGCAGTAGTCCAGCAGATCGGCAGCAGTGGTCAGCAAGGCCAGCCCAGGCCGTGCGTCATCCCACTGCTCGCCTCTCCCGCTCACCACGCTGCTCCCACTGCTCCTCCCTGCTCCCTGCCGCTGCCGCCCAGTAGATGCGCTGGTAGAGGGATGCAGGCAGGAAAAGAGGAGAGAAGACCAGTGACTAGCAGGAAGTACGCAAGTGGCAGAAGGGAAAAACGGCAAGCAAGCATGCAGTGAACGGTGAGCTGAGTGGAACGACAAGTGAGTGGTTGGGAGTGGGGGGAGGGGGAAGGCGCATGGAGTTGGTGGGCCAAGGGCACCATAGCAGCGAGCTGAGGCAGCGAGGGGGGACTGGGGAAGAGAGGGACGCATGCATGGCATGAATGCACTGCTATCCTAAGCCACACCCACTAGACTCTCTGGACTGGACTCTTTATAAGCTCAGATGCCATGGTGCGCCCTGACCCACCGCCACCATGCGCCTCACAGGGACAAGTGTGTGACAAGAAACGCGGGATGCAGCGACACAATACAGTGGTGCAATGACAAGAGGGCGTGGGGGGAAGGGGGGAGTGCAAGAGCAGAGGAGGGAACTTAGCTGCTCGTTGCTCGTCGCTCCGCGCTCGCCGCGCTCTGCTCGCATCGTCGCCGCGTCTGCTCGCCGCGCCATGCGCGCGCCATGTATTGCGTTTCCGCTCGCCGATTTCGCTTGACGCGTTCCCGCGCTCCAATCACTCCCCATACTCTCCCTGCTGTGGAAGGTCCCTCTGCTGTGCCACAAGCTCTCCGGAAGGCGGACAAAACGAGCTCCCTGCAGCCCACTACGCTCCTGGTTGCTGCTGCTGCTGCCTCTGCAGCCACAGAGGGGTGAGGTTGGAGGAACAGGGGGAAACGGAGGCATGCAACAAGATCTGGAGCAAGCAAGACGCATGGGAAGGTGCAGGAGAGCATGGAAGCAAACGAGCCAAAAGCAGAACGGCATGGGAGGGGTTGAGAGGAGCGTGGGAGGCGAAGGGAGTGTGGCGGATGGCAGCCCGTGGCAGTTTGGCAGCGAGCGAGCTTGCAAGGGGGGACTGAGGAGGAGGAGGACGCGGGCATGAGGATGAATGAATTCTATACTAACCCCCTACAACTCTACCTACATGCGCTCAGCTGCCTTGTGCCACGGCCCACCATCGCCACACGCCCTCACACTCCCACTCGCACAGTTTTCGAAAAGTTTTAAAATCGATTGTGCGCGAACAAAAGCGAGACAAGAGAAATGGGAGTGGAGTTGAGAGGACTTCACCAGGAATGGCAGTGGCTGAACGCCCTGGCTGAACGGCATTGCCTCTCCTCCGACTCTCTCGTCCGTCGCCCGTCACAGAGGCGCGTCGCTTGCTGCTCGCTCGTTCGCCGTGCGTTGTTGCTCGCGGGCCGCTCGGTCGATATGGCCGAGGCCCCTCACTCGCCATCCGTCACTGGGAAGCATTTGAGGTGGAATTAAGGTGGCAATAGAGCCGAAGCTGTAAAGAGCGAGTATTGAGAAACTTGAAAATGGAGCACAACGAAAATGGAGTGGTTGGATCGTGGTGGGAGGGGGAAAGGGGAAGGCGCATGGCGACAGTGGCCCACGGCACTACAGCAGCTAGCTGAGCCAGCGAGGGGGGACTGGGGTAGAGAGGGACGCACGCATGGCATGAATGCACTCCCTCTCCCACTAATCTCTCCCACCGCTCCCATTACACTGCACTCTACATGAGCTCTGCTGCCATAGCACCATGGACCACCACCACCATAAGCCAAGAAACAAATGTGCCTTGAGATTTGCCAAGAGTGAAAGAGACGGATGGTGAGCAATGGAGGACGGGGGGGGGGGGGGGAGGGGAGAGGAAACTTAGCTAAGGAGAAGAGTAGGGGTTGAATGTGACTCGTCCGAGGGAGGAGCAGCAAGCAGCAGCATCACCGTTCCGCACACCGTCGCACGCAGCTCGACGCCGTTCCGCAAACTGTTTCACGCAGCACGCCATTCCGCACGTCGCCGATGCCGCTGAGTAACTCGCCATTCGGCACGTCGCCGCCCAGTAACTCTCCATAGACGCTCTCGTCCGTCGCTCGTCACTGACGCGCGTCGCTCGCCGTTCGTCGTTCGCAGTTCGCCGTGCGTCGGTGCTCGCTGATCGCTAGGGCGCCGAGCGTCGTTGCTCGCTCGTCGCTCGGTCGTTATGGCAGACGCCGTCACTCGTGGTGCGCTGCTCGTCTTCCGTTAATCACCATCCGTCTCTCAAACGTTTCGCTGCATGTCGTCCGTCACTCGTCGCTGCTCGGAGTTCATCGTCCGTCGCTCAGAATCGTGCTCCTTCACCATCGTGGTTCCCGCTCGTCGCCGTTCGCGAAAGGAGTTCTCAAGCTGCCCGAATCGCCTTGTCGATTGCCGTCAGTCGAATCTTAATCGCCTTGTCGCTTGCCTTACAACTGAACCATCGCTGCAGTTCGCCGACGCTTGAGAGCTGATGTCGACGCCGGCGAGCGCGACAACTCTCGTCCGTGACAGCACGCAAGATGCGACGCTTCACGTCGCGAGCAGCACGCATCACCAAGATGCGACGTCTCGCGTCTTGATCAGCACGGCGATTCACCAAGCTGCGACGTCGCGCGTCGTGAGCAGCATGCGATTCACCAGGATGCGACATCTCGCGTCGTAAGAGCAGCACGCGATTCACCAAGCCGCGACGTCGCGCGTCGTGAGCAGCACGCGATTCACCAAAATACGACGTCGCGCGTCGTGAGCAGCACGCGATTCACCAAAATGCGACGTCTCGCGACTGTGAGCAGTGCGCGATTCACCACGTCACGAAAGCGACCGCCGATGGGATGATCGCGTGCATCTAAAAATCTCGAACCCGCCGATCACCACCACGCTCCTCTACTGCTCCAGACGGCTATGACCAAGCTGCGACGACTCCAGACGGCGACGATCAAGATGCGACGACTCCAGACGGCGACGATCAAGCTGCGACGACTCCAGACGGCGACGATCAAGCTGCGACGACTCCAGACGGCGAGTATCAAGATGCGACGACTCCCGTGTGCAGGACGCGATTTGACACAACACGACATCTCTTGCCTTGAGCTGGACGCGAATCAGCTGAATGCGACGACATCACGACGGCGAGCGTCACGGGAGAGTAATGGAGTATGAAGTACTGCTATTCGTGAAACTGCTACCGTCGCTTCTCCCAAGTAACAGTGGTCGTGGAGGTTTTACTGCTTCGTCAGCAGGTTCGTTACGCCTCAGAAGATAAAATACTGATCGCATTCGTCTTGTCGCTTTTGCCGTCAAGAAGAGCTTTCTATTCAACACACCGTTGGATGACTCTCCTAATCGATCGTCACCGTCGTAGACACCCCGTCAACGACGACCATGACTAACGTGCAGCTTTGTCGACGATCTATGTGACGCCGTCGCCACAGCCACCGCCATTGTTAAGTCGCAAAATCCGTTTACGAGAAACATCACCTCTGATACTAATTGCGATGAATAGTAACGGAAAACAAAATATCTGGCGGTTAAAGGATGGTCAAGTCTTTTGGCTTCAGCTACACGAGAGGTGGCAAGCATTGTCGAGCCATGGGAACTCCTGCCAGCACGAAACGTGCTCAATCTGCTGTTATCAACGTAGCGGTACGTAGTAGTGGCTGGTAAAGCTGAGGTACTTGATGAGACATGGATCCAAGGACGCCATGAATACGAGCAGAGCCTAAGAGCGGAGAATTCCTACGCTGTTATGGACTCGGACATTCAGGGAAGAACCAGACTGCAATAGGATAGCATGGGGACTAAGGCAATTCCTAGGTGAGGAGGGAGAAGAGGATGCCTGGGGGGTGGATGTGAAGGCCAGGAAGGCGGGATGAGCAAACAATTCCCTCCGCTGCTCATGGATTGCCAAACAGGCGGAACATTTCTCGTTGTCAGTTTCGCGAGCTGGATCTCAAGGAAAGGATTACCCGTTCGCTACTGGAAAAACATCTCCTGGCGAACAAGACTAATATTTCGTCAGAGGTTACTGAAAACTGTCGAGTTTCAGCCGAGCGGGTTTTGGCGTCTTTACGCGCGAGCCGCCCAATTGAGCGGTGGCACCTGACAGCCGTGTCAGTGATGGCGGGAAATCGGCTCGCCTATCCATCGCCTCACGATCAACCTGATCGAACGGCGAGTGGTTCCTGAGCCCAAACCAATCTGCGTCGCAGGGAACTTGATGCATGCCAATAAGTTTGATACTTTCTGTGTGAATTGTACAAGGTACTTTGAGTAACTGAGCTTACTTCCATACCGTACAATTTGGTTTTGTACAACAGTAGTGACCCCAGTCAAGCAGGTTCCACCATGCACATGTGGCAACTGAATATACTTATACCTATAGAAGAACAGAAATCAGACACGGTACTGTACCGTACATATGATAGAATAGACCCAGCTCACAAAGCAGTTGCAGGAAAGATCCAAAGAATATGACCAAACAAACCCCGCGGATCCTTCCACCACGGATATGGTGGAACCAAGAATCTGATCCACATGCTTCATTCGTCGAAGCTCCACCAGCATACAGTAGGCCAAAGCCCCCTCCACTGACCAGCCATGCTCACTCACTCCCAAGGCCAGGCAGCAACACCGTCACTCCCAAGGCCAGTCGGGACCGATACCAGTGCAGCTGGTATCCCACTCGGTGTTGCAGCATCATTAGCAAAAGCATTTCTGGCGAAACCGACACCGGAAAATGCATTACTAGCAAAAAAACTCCTCCCAGATGCGGCAGCCGTCATGATAACCCTCTCTAGCTCCATCACTCTCCTCTCCAACGCATCTACATACCCTACAGCTCTGCCCAGCATCGCGCATGTGTCCCCTCGCCCCCTCACCTTCGCCCTCAGCCTCTGTAGCTTCTCACTGATCCTCTCCCTCCTCCTCCGCTCTGCCATGCTCCGGCTCTTAATCCTCTTGTTCGGCGCCGAACCTATCCTCACGCCTTGGCACCGAGGCAGCCACTCGTCGCCTGTGCCACACTCGTCTGGCATGTTGCTGCGCTCGTGGCCCTTGGGATCATCCAAAGCATCGTCCGTGCGGCACTCGTCGTGCACGTCGCAGTTGAGGCCGTTGGTCTCGCTCTCATGCCTCACCATGTGCTCATCCCGAGGCGACAATTGGGTCGACACTAAAGTCACGTCGACGTGTTCTTTTGTGCACATGCCTTCCAGGTCACCATTCTGTTGGGTCCTCACATGTGGCAGGATATGAGGGTTAACGTTAACAACCATGGCAGGGTGCATGATAGACGCCGCTACCGCAGGGGGTCCCTCTGGGTTTGCCTGAAAAAACGAGGCGCTGCCCGGCCCAAGCACGCTCCGGCTGTAGCACGCATGGGAGGCCTGCCTGGCGTGCTGCTGCGTGTGAGCTGCGGCTGTAGCGCAACCAGTGGGGCGCTCTGGGCTTTTCCTCTTCCTTCCCGCATCGCTCGCTGAGTTGGTGGCAGTGCTGCTGAAAAGGCTACTGTTGGTGCCACGCGCTCCCACCATCACATTGCTATTGTGGATCCCGTTGCTCATGACACTGCTGGGGTTGGTGCTACTGCCACGCAGAGCAAACTCAGGGTCACTGCCACCACGGCTGCGGCTCCTTTCCATATGTCGCCCTCCCATGTGCTCCAACCGACTAGCAACATGCAAAGCGCCATCTGGGCCGTATCTAGGAGCAAAGGTAGAAGCAAGGGTGGTCTCCACTTGCTTCGCTGATGTTCCGGCCTCTGGAAAAGCCGAGAAAGCTGACAGCCAAACCTCCTCTTTCCCTCCTTCCTCCCAGTGCTGCTGCTCCTGCCGCTGCTGCTCCTGCTGCTCCTGCGTCTCTTGCAATTGTAGAGCCTGGGGGACCCCTGGCTGCTCGTGCCCCTTCTGCCGCTTGCATAGGCTCTGCTTCTGCTGCTGCTTCTTCTGCTCCTGCTTTTGCTGCGGAAGCTGTTGCTCGTCCTCCTGCTTGAGCGCCAGAAGGACGGCCATGAGCTGCTGCCGTTCGTCCTCGCTGCCTCTCCCCATCTGCAGCCTCGCCATCACCCGGTCTGAAAGCA